GAAAAAGTGCATGTGTCTGCGTTATTTGCATGTGGCTCGCACTCGACTGATTCTCTTGCCAGGATACGAAAGGATACGAAACGAAAGGAGGTGCTCTGAGCGTGTGTGTGTGTGAATTTCTTGCTCCTCCACTTGCTTGCAGCATATAGTTTAATTTTGAAAAGGATTCGTCTGCCGCTGCTAGAGCTCTGGCTGTGGCACTGGCCAAAAAGGACATCCCGCTCGCACTTGCCGAGCCGGCTCCTGGGGACTCTCTTCTCTCGCTTCCTCAGCTGGACATGGCCGATAGTCCGTAAGTGGCCAGTAGTTGATGGTCGAAAATGCTGCGTCTGGTCGTCCTGTCCTGGTCGTCCCGGCTCCTCTTGCCTCTTCAATTGTTTCAATTTCCCTGCTTGCTGGAAAATCCAGAGACCAAGGAGACCGACCAGGCGAAGGATACGAAGGAGACCAAGGCGGCCATCGGCCAGCGGCCTGCATTTGGCTTAGATTGGAAGGACAAATTCCAGCCTGGCCGTTTGCCTTCTTCTTACGCGGCATCCTGCCACACACACACACAGACACTCACACTGGACCAGGTACAGCCATAGCTAGAGCAGAGTCCTGCTGACAAAAGAGCCCGGACGAAAGGGGTGGAGGCGCATTAAAACAAAGGAGCTACGAGCTCGAATATGCAAATCATAGGAACATAGCAGCGACAGCAATGGCACAAAATAGAAGACCACTGCAGGCCCAGGACGAAGGACAGCAGGGCGTAGGGACAAGGGTGCCGCAGAGGATGAGGGTGAGGCGAGCACTAGGACGAACTAGGTCCAAACAACTTGCGAGAGCTGCGGTTTTGTCTGCTCAAATCGCCTTAGCTTAGACAAAACTGCAGATAATGGATAAGGAGGCAGGCGGACTCTAGGTAGCAACCAAAGAACTGCTAGTCCGAGTCCGAGTCCGACTCCGAGCCAGAGTGTGAGCATGTGTAGGAGAGTACAAGTATCTGGCAGGACCGCCCAGGTCAGCACGAGTTGCGGACAACGGATTAGGTTGTCTCCATGCTATGATGCCCCTGGTCCGAAATGCCATCCCAAATGTATCTGGAAAATGTGAAATCAGGTGGATTCGAACTTGTATGTTATCTGAAGGATTTTGTTTGCAATGGAACAGTATATTCTATATTCTATATTCCATATGGTAATGGATGGTTTTCTATACTGCAGGTGAGCCTGCAGTTTTATCTATAAATTGCAAGCTGAAAGTTACCTTAAGACGGTTGGTTTTTGGTAAATTTGATTGGGAATAAAATAATATATTTTGTATATAATATTCATATCATCATCATAGAAGGGGAAGGGAATTAGCCTTTCTGTTATTATTCTTTAACACAAAGTCCGACAAGATTTTATCAAGATTTTTGTATATACATAATTTCATTTGTTTTTTTAATTAAAAATAATATTAAAAATGGTAGAACCTAAGGTAAAAGCGAATTGTTTAAAACTGTAATTTCATAGTAAGTACATTTTAATAGTTGATTTTAAATTAGTCGATGATTTTTCAGGACCATGTGGCCTTAATTATTACAAATGGGCATCTATTTAAAATTAGTTTGCATATTTTTTAGAAATCTTTGGAATACAATTGCTTCTAGTTTGGGTTGATTTTTTGTTCTATATAATCTAATAATCTAATTAATTTAACTCTAAAAATTGTCAATTATCTCTGAAAGACCATCCTTAAATGTCAATTCAGATAACAATCTGAAATCGCATTGCAGACAACAAGCAACTTAACAGATAGAATTCTAAGCGTTAATAAATGATCGATGGATTGATTGATATAGGGATAATTCTAGGCGACGGGGGCTAGCTGCAAGCGCAAGTGCGTATCCAAGGATGTGTTCCGAGTAGATCCCAGTGTATATGTGGCAAGGATAACTCACACACACACACAGGCATATACACCATATAGAAAACTCGTGTACACACATTTATCTTTTTGAAGGCAAACTGAAAATTTTGTTTTAGGAACAGTTAGACAAAGACAATGTGAGAGGATGCAGATTGGTGGCCAGTGGGCGGTGGGTGGCCAGTCGGTGGGTGCTGAAAATCAAACGCACACGTCTTCGAGCATATGTACACACACAGCTACTAGCGCACACACATACACTTGCTTAGGGAAAGGACGGACGATACACACACATTCGGGCAACAATCGGGGGTGACCAGTGGTCCACTGGCCAGCCAGCCCAGTGCGCCTTCATCTTTCAATTCACGCGAAAATTTCCTTCGCCACCCAGAGGTGTGACACGGAGGGTTGTGGGTGGATGGGTGGGTGGTGGTGTGGATATGAAGGGAGAGAAGGTTGGCAGGACATGGCAGGACCACGACGACGACGACGGTGACAACGACGACGCGGGTTGGAGAAAGTGAATTGAGTTTAGTCGAGGACGACGAATTCGTAATTGTACACACACACGCAGCGACATTAAGGCAACGGATGGGGTGGCGTAGGGTGGTGGTGTGTAGTGTGTAGTGGGCAGTGGACAGGATCCAGAAGGATGCTGGCAAGGAGCCGCTGCAGATATGAGAGAAAGTCCGGCGGCCAAAGAGAGAACGAACGAAAATGGAAAATGTTGCCTTGCTTGGACAATGGACAATCGGTCGGTTGTCGGTCGGACGGGTTGGGTTCGCAGGACGCAAGGACGAGGCGGAGAGGGGGGTTGGTTTGGTTAGCCGATGAAAATCTGAAGTATATATACCCGCACACACATACAGTATCATAAAGCAACAACTCTAAATTTTCGCAGCAGCAAAATTTACGCTAAAGATGCTGATGTGCCTGCGGATGCTAAGAAGAATGTGCGTCTGTGTGGGTAGCGTGTTGCCAAAGTGCGTGAGTGTGTGATGCCAGGACATCGTGTATGTCCTGTGTGTGTCCGTGTATGTGTGTGTGCGGTGAAATGAAGCGACCCGGGCAGGCTGCTTGGCTTTTTAGTGGCAAGGATATGTTTCTTGCCAATGCGGCCCCATGCCGGCCATCTGTAGTCGTCGTGGTCGTCCTGGCCGTAGTCCTGTGTTATTGTTGCTCCTTGTTGTGTATACGCCTCTGCTACACCAATACTATGCCACACACGCACACACATAACCATGTGCCTCTGTGCGTGTGCGTTTTGGACATGGCTTCAAAAACCTTTCTTAGCGATTTCCCGAAAGGCAGCAGCACTGGCGACACTGCTGCTGTCTTTTTCGTTGTCCTTGCTGTTGTTGTTGCTGTTATGGTCAGTGGCCGCCGCCTCCTTTGGCAGGACACAATGGCTCTGTGAATATGTGCGGCCTCTGCGCAAATATTTTGCATAGCAACTACAATGTCTACGACCTCAAATGCCTATGCGTGTACATATTATATAAGATCATAATCTCTGCGATATCCTGCGATGGTGCAAATACTTGCCAGTATTTGGTACTCTCTCCATATGGACTCTTGAGAAATTATTCAAATATAATTTTGTAGCAACAATTTGGGAGAATATCTTTGAGGAGATACAAGGTGAAAATAATTTTTGAGGTTTTGTTATATCGCAATATTTTCCTAAATTTATTTGTGAAAAATAATAATAAATAATTCACTGGGAAAGACTGTACGACAAAATTTTATATTAAGGTTGCAGAATAATAAGTAATAATAAAAGTCTTCAGAAAAAAATGTTTTCGATTATCTTGAAAAATCTCTTATTATTAGGAACTTAATTTTTTACTCAACCTAGGAATTTTTGTGTAATGAAAAATATAGTAATGTATTGAAAAGTATTCAATATATTTCGAAAGCTTAATACATCCAAAAACTCTAATAATGTAAGCTGTTCAAATTTTAAGCAATTTCTTAGCTTCTTGAAAAAATGTTCAACGCAAATCCACAATTTTAAATAGGTTAACAAACCACAGCAGAAAAATTCACTTATAACAAAGAAAAACAACCACTTTAATTATTATTTTCTGTTCCGATCGAGAGCCCGTTGTGGAATTCCAGTTTCCTTCGGCGATCGCCTGTCACGCTCCAGCGAAAAGAGCGAAGGCGAAATGCAAAATCCGCTCTGTGGGACGACGGATTCGCCTCATTTTGAGAAGATGAGAGCGTGGGGTGTGGGAGAGAAAATGCCTCCCCCTTTCCCACGAATCCTGGCTTCGGGTCCGAAACCCGAACACGATTTTTGCTCTCTTTGCCACTCTTTGGTTTTCGCAGCTGTTCTCTGCGAACGGGTGCGAAAGAGAGGCGAGCGGACGTAAACAGTGATGAAGGCGTGTATCAAAACAAAGCGAGAAAAACTCTGGCCGCAATAAAAGCAGCAACAACTGCAGCACATGACAGCGGGAAAACTAACAGAATTATCAGCGCCGATAAAGAAAACCCCCTGCAGGGAAAATTAGCCAAGGTTTTCTGAGCCTGGGTCCCAAGGATTTCGTTACCCGGAGATACCTATTTCAGGACCTCCTTTGGCACTATTTTGCACTCGAAAAACGTGAATATCTTGGCTAAATGCACACAAATGAGGGCTGAGGTTACAGTAAGACGGGTACACTGAGCAAAATATTAAAGAATATACTGCCACAACTAAAATTTTAAAAGTTAATAACAAAATGAGAGATTTTGTGGAATGTTTTTCAAATATTATTACCTTTATTGATTTTAAAAAAATCTTATTATCTTTAAAATAGTAATGACTCTAATATGTTTCGTCTTCATTTATGAAATAAACTAACTAAAAGTAATTTTTAATCAAAAAATGCGCTCAAACCTTTCACCTTTACCTCTAATTCACATTAAATTTTTTGTCAGTGTGCTCACACACACACGTGGGCGCGCGAAAGGAGGCCGAAAAGGATGTTGTGCGTCTCTCGAAGGCAAAAAGCCTACACGAGAATTGCGTCGTCTTCGTTGCACACCACCGCGCTCCTCTGTGTGCCAGTGTGTGCGTCGGTGTATGTAATGGCCGTGTGTGAGTGGACACTGGCCTGTGGTTGGGCCAAAATGCGAAAATGCGAAAATGCCAAAGCCAGAAGCAGAGGCCCAAGCGAAGGCAAAGCGAGAGGACTTCTTCGCCGCCTCGGACGTCTTGGCCGTTATTAATCATTGTACATTTGGCTGTCACCGAAAAAGGCCGCGAATTCGGCAGCAACAGCCGTTGCGAGAGAGCGAGCGAGAGAGAGACAGAGAGCACGAGAGAGGGAATAAGGAATAGCCAAGGAGCAAGTGAGAGAGCGAGTCGTCACGCACACACACCTACGGCCACGTAAATCGAAGCGAAAAAGAAACAAAAACGACAACTACAACTACACTTACGGACTGACCAGCGCACACACACACGTTGAACCACCACTCAGCCGCACGCGTGTGAGTGAGACCGAGAGACGAAACGCCGCTTTTCGTGGACGTGCGACTTTAAATTCGTCGCCGTGCGGAAATTCGCCGCGCTAAAATCAAAATTCACTCAAGTCCGCCGCGGTAGTTTGTCGCCGCACTTTAGCCGCTCAGGTTCGTTCACGTCACAATATCCTTCGACGAGCGCGAGAGAGAGGTCGCATCAGCGAACGCACCGCACCGCACCGTATGCCGCATGTCCTTTCGCTGAAATTCGCACGCCGCAGCGGTAAACATTCGCGCACAAAGTGTTTGATTGTCCTTGTCACCCCCCCAAACAATAACAATAACCGCCTTCCATGTGAACTTGATAAAGTAAATTAATCATCGCAGGACGAAAACGCTGAATAAACGTTAAAAGCTGTGCTTTCTAACCAAAACAAAAAGATAAACAATCTTCAAATCTCCCGCCTTCGTTGGAGGGCTCATATCACATTTCTCCCCGGAAGTTCCAAAAAAAGGTTAGTATAGTGAAGGAAATCGCCATAAAAGTGTTTTATTGCGCAATTTATTGGAAGTTTTTTTTTTTAATTTGAATTTGAAAAGTGCCCGCTGTTAATATTGTCATAAATTTGTGAAGTCAGTAACATATTCTTAAAGGATAATTGTGTTTTCTATGACGAAAATTAGTCTTATGCGGAAATGAATATTCATAAAATTGATTATTGAAATAAAAAGTTTTAGTGCCATTTATCGGTTGATTAAAACCGAGATGGGAATCATAATAGACAAATTTATGATTCCCTTCTCGGTTTTATCCCTCGAAAGGAGTTCTAATGGTGTGTAAATTTATGCCCAGAATGTTTGTTTTTAGATCCTTAATTGTTCTAAACAAAAAATAAAAAAAAGATTCCGTAAACTGTGATGAAATAAGATACATAAAACACATCGAATTGCAAAGCCGATCGTAATGGCTATATTGCTTTTGTAAATTTTTATAAATGTAAAACTATAATTTAAAATGTATTAAAAAATTAGCCGAATTTCAATACATAAATATTCAAGAAAAGCATTCACATCATGATCAGAGTTTATAGTCGATAATAGTTAAACCTCCTTGCATTGAAATCTATTACCAATATTTAAATCTTGTTCTAAGCTCTTTATTTATCGTGATATGTTTGACTTATATCTACAAATCGAAATTATTAGCCACATCTTTTAGTTTTTTTTTTATATACCCATCAAAAAATGTATGAATTTTTTATAAATTTATTCCTAAAGTATATTTAAAAAGATTCAACAGATGTAAAGTTCAGTTACTTAATAAATACTCGTTTAGAAGCTGCTTTGCCGTATATCGTAGGATACTTTGCACGTCTTAAGGAACTAAAATATTATTATTGAGGTGTTCCAGTAAAACCAAAAAACAAAATATAAATTAGAAAGAATATATGCATTTAGAAAACAGGATTAAACTGATATTAATTAGTATTGTTAAAGATTTTTCGCAAAGAAAATAAATCACAAGAAACACAAATGGTTTCCTAAGCGCCTTGAAGTAGGCAACGATTTAGGCACTTTATTTTGTTCAAAATATTTAAACCCTAAATGATGAATTATTAATTTAAAACTTGAAACAGTTTGATTCAAAAAGTTATATAAATTAATTTTTTAAATCATGCTTAAATATTTCGAGAATTTAGGCTTTTAATACAATTTCTTATGAGATAAATAATTGAATTCCACAAAAGTTTAAGAAACCATAGGGAGAAAAATTAGTATTATCCTAAAGAATTATGAGAAGTCTACAGATTTAGTTTAAAAACAACTTCTTTTTTTTTAAATGCACTGCGTATAGAAAACACATTTAAAAACTGTAATTTAACTATATAAAATGTCAATAAAATATATATTAAATTGGAATCACATACACGGCCACTCAATAGCAAGCTAGGAGTCCTTAAACGAATAGCTAAACAGTAAAGCTCGTTCCAGTGCGATAATCTGGCATAACATTAATCGAGTTAATCCAAAACAAACACACAATAAAAAGGTGCAATGCCGCCGCTTAAGGCCACATATATCATTGGTTCCAACAGGTCCAAACTTACAGCAGACACATGTACTATATATATAAATGTACATACTTATCTTGGGTGTGAGAATCGTCCCAGACAGTCAGACACATAGAGAAACACTCTCAAGCCGAGGCAACTTTTTCTTTTATCTACGGAATTCTTATTTTTATTTGTTGCCTCTTATTGTGTTTTATTTCTTTTTACATTAACACAAGCGAATGGAGCTATCAAACGCTTGCACATATTAGTGCTAGTTTCAGTCGTTGACCTCCATTCGCCAGACTTCCCAGCTTTCAGCTCCCCTCCGGATGTCCTTGCCGCATGCAGCATGTCCCTGCCCCTGCCCCTGCCCCTGCTCCTGTGTGTCTGTGAGCGAGTTCAATACGAAGCCAAAGAAACGAAAAAATAGTAAATACAATAAAATTATAATTGTATATAGGAAAATCAGAAGCTCTTAGCACACAGGCTCACCAGCACTCACACACTAGGAGATGGCCAGACGGTTGGCCATTCCATTACAGCCGTACATACGTTTGTCCTGTGAGTGAGTGTCCTGCGAGTATACATGTGTGTGTTTGTGCACAGCAGACACAGACAGAGCCAGACCCAGACCCCCCTTTCACACACACACACACTGACAAACTTGGTGTAATTCTTTTATATTTATTTCTTTCATCTTTTTCTGTTGTTACTAGATTTTTTTACACACTTCTCACTGTCCCAGTTCGGTTCGTGAAAAGTTTAATGGCGAGCCGGCCAGGACAAGGACGGCAGGCAGCACGGCAGGACGGAAAGGACCTTCCCTGTGCCGGCGAAAGCGAAAGTACAAATTCTTTTCCGACTGCTGCTGAATGGCCAAAGACCTTGTAATTTTTATACAGCTGTAAAAGTTTTATTCGATATGTGTTTGGGTGCAGGTTAAGGGGGGTGTTTAGGGTCCTGCGAGAGTCCTGGGTAGGGCCAGGGCAGTGCTGGCCAGTCTGAGGAGTGGGCGCAATCCCATGCACCATCGTCGACACAGTTATTTGCTGCTCTATTGGTTATGAGCATCCCTGTTATTCTGGGGGGACTTAGGTGTTGTGTGTGTTTTGGGTGTGATAGTGGGTGTGAGTGGGTAGGAGGCCAGCACCTGCAGAAGTGTGCATTAAACCACAAGTAGAATTAGGTGTCGGGCCAGGTCAATAATAATAGTTCGGCCAATCAATGGGCCTAATCATTCAACTAGGTATTAATGGGGCTAATCAATTGTGTGCTTGATTTTCTCTTCTCGTTCTTGTTTTTCGATTATTATGTTTTCCAATGCTAACGTGTTGAGTGTTTATATTTATTTACTGTTTATTAATTGTTCTTAATTACATATTTCCTTGGTTTTTATAATTTAATTGTGATATTTTAAGGTGTTTAGTAATCTTATTACTGATTCTTAAACATTTCTTAAACTGATAGTTAACGAATTTCTGTTTTATTTCAGTTTGATGCTAAAATTTCACTTAATTTATATTATGAATTTTTAACAATCAAAAATTAAAAATGCAAATATTATTCTTTAAATTAAATAATTTTAATATAAAATAGAGAAAAATGATTATCGAAAGGTTGTAGAGTTATCATTTTAATTTAAAAATATTTATATTATAACATTAAAAGACTTTAATCTTCAAGTTAGAGAATAATATCTTCAATTAATGATACCTTAAATCTTAAATTTCTTTTTAGTTAATTTATAAATTATCTCCCCTTATAAAACCTTTAAACCTCATGACTTAAGTACAAATATTCACCCATTCTCAAACATAAGTGATATTATCTTGAACCCAACTCGAATATTTTAAATAATCTTAACCGCACAACAATGCATAAGATGATTTTGGCCCCTTGCCAATGGCTTATACCGATTCCCCTGCTTAAGTTTATACCAAAATCCAACCCAGGAAGCTAAGTCCCAAGACCAGAATCCCCCAATTAATAGCTGGCAACGTGTAAAGTCCAGTTCAAGTGGCTGCGAAACCTGCCAAGACGGCATTTCGATGGATGTCCAAACGAAAGACTCCACCAGTTTGGCTACCTGCTGCTCTCTCTCTCTTGATTCCCCTCAAAACTCTCTTAGCGCACCGAAAGGGGCCTCTCTTCCTCAGTCTTAGTCTATTCTCTCATATAGTCAGTCTCCTTGTATATTTGAATGCCACATATATATACGAATATATATATATATGTATATCTGTACATATAGAGGAGGAAAGAAATCATGTGTCAGTCATGCGCAAAACGTGTTTTTCATTTTAAAATTGCACCACGGGGCGAGCTCTTTTGCATGTCTCACTTTCTGGCGAGATGGAGGCGGAGCATATTGTTGTTCGCTCAGGTTCTATCTTGGCAACGCACTTGGCCGGGCCAGAAGAAGACTTGAGTTTGGCCAAAAAGACGCTGCACCTGCTCCGGTTGTTGCTACAGTTTTTGGGAAGTGGCAGGAAGGAAGGAGGGCCAGGGATTGGAGTGAGGCCAAGGCGCAACAGGCGATGGCCGTTGCGATTGAGGGATGTTCGCTCTGAGCTGCAGTGAAACAGGTAAACAAGTTATAAATTCTGTGGGGAGTGCTCGGGAGCACTTCGGGAGACTCCTGCCGAATGTCCTGCTCGTCCTGTTGCTTATTCGTGGCTCGCGTTGCGCGCTGCATTTTGGAGCAGGCGCGTCGCGGCGCGAAGTCAACGCACCAATTAGCATATTCCATTGTCTCCCCGTGTATACACACACCGACACAGCGATATTTTTGGCATGTCCTTCGTGCGCAAAGAGGCGAAAGGGGGCGTGCCGCAGCTCATTTGCCTGCAGAGAGCGGAGCGGATGAAATTGTCATCTCAGCAGGCAGGAGAAGCTGCTGTGTACCTATATATATACGTATATATTCAGGACAGCGTACACCTACACTCATACGTATACGCAATATAGCGCATACGTACGGGTGTGCGGTTTATTTACACCGCCCGCGACTTGTCTGTAAAACTTTAAAGCGCGCGCTGCGATTTTATTGGAGCCCCGTGCGAAAATGCGAAACAGCACCCCGTTAACACCCCTGGCACCCGTAGCACCCCCTGACAACACCCAACCCCGAAACACCGGGGGCAGACAAGTACATGGACGCGCATTCGCCAGGCGACGAGCACATAGCGATATATATGTGCTGGCCGAACGGCGAATGGGAACGCACTGTATGCGATAGGCGATAGGCGATATGCCAAGTGTGTCACGGTAATTAATTAAGACTTCTCTCCTCTGCTCTCCCCGCTATCCTTTCAGGCGCCAAGCTGTTCGACAACGGCCTCAAGTTGGATATTTCCAGCTACCCCCACATGAACATCCGCATGGGCACCAAGGGCAAGCGGCCCCTGCGGAGCCTGACGCCCCGCGACAAGATCCATGCCATCCAGCGCATCCACGATGGCGAGTCCAAGGCCTCGGTGGCCCGGGATATCGGTGTGCCGGAGTCCACGCTGCGCGGGTGGTGCAAGAACGAGGATAAGCTGCGCTTCATGTCCCGCCAGTCCAGTGCCGACAAACTCTGCGCCGACTCCATGGCGGACAAGCTGGACGTGTCCGGTGGGGGTCCGCTGGGACCCATGGGACCTCTGGGCCCGCCCGAGAAGCGCCAGCGCCTGGACGCGGGCGCTTTGCCCCTGAACTTCTCCAACAAGCTGAAGTTTGACGAGCTGGCTGGCTTCAAGCGATCGCCTCTCAATGGCCTGGACTACAGTACAAACAAGAACCTGACGGAGCTGAGCTACAACGGTCTGCCCGTGGACTATGTGGCCTTCAATGGGGTCAAGAACAAGGTGTTCGGGGCTGATATCAACCGACCCGGCGCTGCCGCCGATCCCTCCCTGAACGCCATCAGTCCGCTCTCGAGCCTGACGCATCTCTCGGGGCTGACGGGCATCCAGCAGAGTCCCCTGGCGATCAGCTTCAATGAACTGACCAACAACCTCAACCTGCTGGCACAGCTCAATCCCGGGCTGGCGGCCATGTCGGGGCTGAGCAGTTTCCCACCCCGAAACTCCAATCCCAATCCCAATGCCAATCAAAACCCCAATGCCAATCCCAAGACGCCCCTGCAGGTGCAGAGTCCCAGAAGCGATAGTGGAGATCGAGCTCCATCGGGTTTATCGGTGAAGAACTGGGCCAAGCAGAAGCCACCCGGGGATGCGGGCAGTCTCAATCTGAGCATCAAGAAGGAGGTGAAGACGGGCGACATCAAGAGTCCCAGCGGACCGATTGCACCCCCGCAGATGATGACGCTCTCCAACCTGGCCGAGGATCCCTTGCTCTACTGGCTCAAGTCGCAGCAGACGATGCTGGGCCTGAACCATCTGTATCCGCCCACGATTCCTCTGGGCGTGACCAGTCCCCCGATCCGCTCTTCCACGCCCCAGCACATGAGCCAGCAGCAGCCAGGCCAGACGCCGCCTATACCCTCTGCTCCGCTGACACCATCGTCCACGCCATCGGGCAGCCTGGATGAGAAGAATGCGGCGTGGTACAACTGGTGCAAAGCCTTCGGAGCCAGCCTGCACACCCTGAATCCCAATGCCGCGACCCTGGCCGCCCTCCAGGCCAACTCCCTGCAACAGCAGGCGGCCAATGCGGCAGCCGCCGAAGCAGGAGGCAGCGGCGACCCGTCCAACATCCTATACTCCCATCTCACCAAAGAGACTGAGACGCCATCGGTGCGCAGCCTGTCCTCCAACGAGCCGAATGCCGAGGCCGATGAGGCCACAGAAACCGATCTCGAAGGCGAAGTGGAGACCGAGGCGGAGACGGAGGGCGCGGGAAAGCCAGAGGATCTATCGGCGGCCGGCAAAGTGATGACGCCCTCGCAAAGTCCCGTGGCCAACTCTCCGCAAGGCAACAGTAGTCCAAGGACCAACAACCTAGAAGAACCACAAAATGATCCACAGAGTGACTGCAAGAAGATTCTAGATAATATGCTGTTTAAGATAGGAGCACCGCTGAACCCGGAACCGGAAGCGGGTTGCGAGTCCGAGGGCAGCTTCAATGACACGCACACGAACAATAACGATGTCAGCGCCAGCAATAACAACAACAATAACAATTCCAACAAGACGGACGAGGAGGAGAAGGCCAGATATCTGCAGGAGTGCAGCGGAGATGACGACGAAGATGTGGAGGCCATACGGCACGGCGAAAAGTTCCTGCAGTGGCTGGAGAATTGCAGCAATCCCCGGGTGACTGCAGTGCAACTGATGCAGTTACGATTCCTGATCGCCGCCATAAAGTCGGGAAACGAGATGGCTCCCGTTCCTGTTCCCACACCCAACGCTGTGGCCGTGTCCTGCGAACCGGACAATGCCGAGGACACCACCGGTGAGCTGGAGGAGAGCAGCAGCCGGGGCAAAAGCCGCCGCCGGAAATAGGAAAAGCCAAAGTTGGCGCCCACGGAGCCAGCCACGGATACGAATACAAATACGAATGACTCGAGCCAGCCGGCGCTCCTGGGGGGCCCGGCTGGAGGATCTAGCCAGGTGCTGGACCCCGCATCCCGGTGCCATGTGTATGCGCCAGCCGTCTACCAATCGTCGGCCACGTTACTAAGCTCCCTGTTCTTCCCCCCCTACGAATTTGTACATTGTGACCTCGACGACGACCCGACTGACGACGACTGCCAGATCACGGGCGAGTACCAGCAGTACGACGAACTGAGCTCCAGCTCCAGCTAGACTAGGACCTGGACTCGGACTGCTCCTCCGAATTTACGCGTATCTCCTCTTCCTCCTCCTCCCAGCTGTGAACCTATCGAGCCAGAGTTGGATTCGGGCGCTTAACTACTTTCAGTCTTTTTCGATTCAATTCCATTGTATTAATATTAATTAATCGTACGGGTTAACATAAGTGTATATATCGAAGAATCTCTCCTTGTAGCTATTGTGCATTAACATTGTCAGTTCGCCCCCGATTCCTGTGTTCTGTCCCCATGCATTCTAGAGAAATGTTATAGCCTTTATTTTATTTGTTACGCCCCATTTCGACCTTTGAACCTGCAACAAGGCGCTGGCAAAGTGCATTTGATATCAAGCGTTTTTAAATTTCGTATTATGATAAATGCAAATGTAATAAGAATGTGCTCAAAAGAATTTTCTTAATTCGAAATTAATGCGATATTTAAATAAAGACATTTACAAATTTAAATGTAATTTTAAATACATGTTCAATAAACAAATAATTAGATAATTTTTATGAAACTCTTAAAATTGCACACGACTTTGTTTTTATTTATAGTTGGGGGAAGCTGGAAATTATAGGTAAAGTAAGTATTATTGAAAGGTAAACATTTTAAAAACAAATACTGAGGTAGGTACATTTGAAATTTTACCTTTAAAAATGCTCATAAAATTATATATGGTATATAAATCTGAACTAAAAGAACCTTTTATATGAAATTATTAATATTTTCATAAGAGATATTTATACCCTTGAAATTAATTTATTTTTGGCTTAGTTATAATAGATTAAAATTTGGTCCTTTGTTCTAAATACAAATTGGAAGTACTTCCTTTCTTGTTTTATTTAAAATAACATTTCAAAGTTAAAACTTCCAACTCTAACTTATCAAAATATGAAACAATCACACTTGTTAGCTTTATAAGTGGAGTGAGCATATCTGCCTTAATTGTTTATAAACTTTTTGTTTTGCATCCCCCTGTGTTCCTTTGTGCAATTTACTAAAAACTAGCTTCACCGTTTCCAAGACAACACTAACAAATTTTGGAAGAATTTGAAGCGGAACCTCATCTATCTATATTTAATAGGAAAACGAGTAAGGAAAGTATGAAATAATCGACTATATATACACAATACACTGGTTCCAAACAGCGAAATAAATGTTATTATAAACAACTCACAAGATATATGCAATTTAAAAATAATATTGTTTTGTTTGTGGGTAGAAATTACCTCTAGTGTTACAGAAAAACATGAATTCGTAGTTAAACCATTTTACAAACATAATTTGTAAACTATAAATTAGAATAAATAAACTACAAGCACACTTACCAGGTTAATTTGATCCTCCAATGGCTCATATTCAATGAAATCGGCCACAAATGTGGCTATTTTCTCCACACTCGATATAAGTTCCGGGTAAATAAATGCTGTTGGTCTTATAGTAGTACACACAAATTTCTGCAAATCAACAGAAAATCTCCTCAAATAACTATACAAAATAGATCCAGGAATAAACCCACCTGAACTCTGCACTCATTGGGCAATGCCAGGACCATGGCTCGTTTTTTAGGATACGAGAGAACCAATTGCTTGCGGAAATTCTCGGCGTAGAGCAGGAGCAGCCGCTCCTTGGGGGAGAGCGTGTAGTACGACGGAGGATAGCATTGCGGACTGTTTTCAAACTCTTCGATTGTTTCCGGAAACGACAAGTCGATCTTGCCGATATTCAATGCCGGCTCACCCTCAGATAGACTAAAGTCGCCTTCTGTGTATTCACCCATTTCCTCCTCGTAATATCCCTCCTCTTCATCATCATAGATATCAGACTCGGTATGGCGCTTCGCCTCGTCGATTTCCTTGAACTTGGCCAAGTGACGGGACGGGTCTATGGTGCTTTCCACCTTCTTGTACTTATTGAACAATATTTTCGGCATCTTGGCGGCTGTTGTCTATTGATGGTTACAATAATAAACAAGAAATTATGTTGCTATAACAGCGGTGTGCATGGAAAATATACAGGCAGGTGTGACAGAAATTCAAATGTAAGTGTTGCCAGGTAAATATACTCTTCTCATATTTATACTTGAACAGTTTAACAAAAACAGAAATTATTATTATCATAAATTCCAGTTAGAGCACAGAGCTAAGAGTATCTAAATATATATTTTTAATGACTCCTATAACTCAGCCACACCTAACTATGCAGAAATATGCGCAATTAATCTTTTATGCATATTAAACACCTGAGGATCATAAGTATTAAAAGGCGAAAGCAATCAAATAATTAGGGTAATTATTAAGTAAGAGTAAAGGTCGCCTAGAGGATTAAAATAATTATTTTTTGTTTAATTCCTTTAGTTTTCTTAATAAGAAAATTGTTTGCGGGAGTTGAACTTGCATCTAAAAAAGGTAAAACATTTAAGCTTGATTAATACAATGGTAGTGAGACGTAATTGAGACCTTTTATAACCCAATTTTCTTTTCCCTCCGCTTTGGGTAAGCTTTTTTCTTTGAAAGTGATAAATATTACTTGAGAAAGGAGGTCTATCTTTTGTAATATACTAAGAGAAACAATAACTTAATCGAGTAATTAGATAAAACAATCAAATGTAAAAGAAAATAAACTATATATGCCACAAAAACTGGAATCAAAGTTTATAAGTTAAAACTGAACTCTGATTAAAAACCTAAGGTGATTTGCCACCTAGAAAATTATTTAAACGATTTTTTTCTTATTTTTCTAGCTTCTAAAACCCTTAAAAATTTATCTTAGTACTCGTACAGAGAATCATAATATTAGTATTAATAATAACACTTATTTTAATGCCAACAATAAGACTTCATAGAGGCATTAATAGAAAGCGAACCCTGAGTGCTATCTCGATGTGGAAGCTAAAATCTAACATTATCTCCGCCACATACCGCATCAAAGTGCATTCCTGATTTTTATACCCTTGCAGGGTATTATAATTTCAGTCAGAAGTTTGCAACGCAGTGAAGGAGACGTTTTCGACCCTATAAAGTATATATATTCTTGATCTGCATCAACAGGGGAATTTTTCTAGATATATCAGGAAGAAATCGATTTTTTGGCCTTTTTGCAAAAGTTAATAAGGGGTTACATAATTAAAATTTTTGATTTTGATAAAAAATTGAATTTTCAAAATTTTTAAATGAAGTATGCAGATTTATTAACTGTAAAAAATCTTGCACAGAACAGCTTTCCGATTTAAAAGTAATGCTCTTTTCGCCGAGTTATGATATTTTTAATTTTAAAAAAATTAAGAATTTTTTAATATAAAAAATCCGATTTTATTATACAAAATAATATTTTTCTAAGTCAAGGAATCATTTCCGACCCCATAAACCATATATATTCTTGATCAGCATTAACATGCGAATCTTTCTAGACATTTCCGAAAGAAATCGATTTTTTGGCCATTTTTGCAAAATTTTATTAGGGGTTACATCATTAAAATTAGCAAACATATTGATTTCTTAAAATTTTAAATTTGGTATGCAGTTTTTTTAAATTAATAAAAACTAACACAAAACTGCTTTCCGAATCGAAATTAATGTATTTTTGGCTTAGTTATGATATATTTTAAATGTTACCTGCAAGGGTATACAAACTTTGGCTGGCCAAAGTTAGCTTTCTTTCTTGTTATATATTGTATATTTTTATTTAATTATTTAGAAATATTTCTTTGTGGGAATTGAGCTTCTCATATTTCGCACATATGTATATTTTGCGATAGGGAGACGCTTTAACCAGATGAACCATTGCAAAGCGACTCGATGCCCAAGCCAGTTTGTTTCTTAAAAGTGATAGCCCCCCACAAAGCTCATACGTCAAACAGAGAATATAGAAAGAGAATTACACAAGCATTAAACTACAAGCAACTATATTGTCTGTTGCCCAGAATCATATCAATTAAGCGCCACCAGAGTGCAATATAATAGATACATTTACACTTGTTCCCCTCGGGCATTAATATACAAATCATGGCCTCCTTCGGCATATAGCTACAAAAACTCAACCAAGATCAATCGGAGCCAATGGACGTTGATGTCGATGTGGCTGTGGGTGCGGGTGATCCTCCTCCACTTGGCTCCGAACCCATGGAAATTGACGACGATCTTGCGGATGTGCCGAAACTATCTCAGCCGCAATACCAACTGTCGGTAACTGTCGTCAGTATTGGCGAGTATCACCATAAAACTCGTATGACTCACATGCAGTTAGATATCGAAGAGCAATAATTAATGGCTTAATTTCTTAAAATTTATTTTCCTCTGCTTTGGTTGGTTTTTTTTTTTTTTTTTTTTGTTTATAATGCAAGATTTAAAAATTAGTAAAAAACTTGAGTAAGCGGCACCTAGCTTCCACATTCTGGTTCCAATCCATGCTGTGGATAGCATCCAAGCCGTGGTTCGCGTCTGTGTTGTGGTTCCTAAATTCGCAGACGCGAACCCTGGTATGGAAACTAGAAAAGCACCCGATTTCTCTACCTTCACAAACTATTTAAAAAAATACAAAGAATACGTTCAGGCAGTTGAACAAAAACGCGCTGATCTGTACTTTGACGTCATTGAAAGAATTTGCACCATAGTTAATCTGCCCTCTGTTTGCCTGGATTCCTGAGCAGTTGAGAAATTTGTACTAAAAATGTCAATATGATGGCCTTGGTTTTGCCTACAACACCAAAAACCATTAACATTTTAACAACCACATAAGTTTTTCTTATTTTTCATGCATTTTTTGTTAAATGATTTATTATACACTTAATTTAACTATTATTTTTGTTATATTTATTTTTCATATTTTTAACATTCAAGAATTGGTACATTTTTGACAATGCAGTTTCCTTAAAACTTTCATAAATTGGGTTAAATTTATTTAAAAAAAAGTCTTACTGTTTAATTAATATTTAATTAAAATTGTAGTGACCATTCCGATTAGTGACTTTGGGACCTTCTTATGCCCTCAAAAAGACCTGGAATATTAGGATATTAATATATTATTAAATTATATGTAGCGCTTAATGCACCCTCAGTACATGTAGTTTGGCAATACCATATAACTCTGGCAACGTAACTTATTGGCATCGTAACTTATGGGAAAAGTATCTTCTACTGAGGCTGCTTAGATATATAAAGTAGATCTTGAAACAGGCTTCTGCTTTACAAAAGAACAGAAACAGTTTTAAGACATTTTCCTCAATTGGTACAAGTTTCACTAAGCAGCTTGACTGAATGCAGTTTGTGTTCTATTTTGTTGGAAATTATTTACCAGGAAAGTTGTTCTTTAAATTAAATTAAATAATATTATAAACGTGTTAAATATTTGAGTCATGCTATAATGTGGCGAGGTAAAAGCTGAAACACAAGTATAAGTTCAGCTGATTATATTATAAATACTAAAAGTATTATTTTGATTCTGATTTTAGAAGAGTATACAAAATACTGAAGATATGATGGACAAATTTATTTAATTACACTGTTCGGTTTATTTTAATGTAAATTGTATTAATATAATTTTATTTACTTATTCCCTGCTTGCTCGGCGACCATGAGAGCAAGATCAGCAGCTTCCTTATCCTTCAACTTAATGGGTCTTCTCCGTTGAATAAAATAAATTTTATAAAATACAAAAATAAACTCTGTTAGTTTAACATAAAATAAGATTAAATTATGTATTACAGAATAAAAATTAAATCGTTTTATGCTCCAATAAGTGTTTCTTATAAATAATAGCTAACTTCCATTAGATTATATATGCAATTTGCATAATTATGCATCCGTCAGCTGTCGGGCAGTGATGGCTAATTTTTTAGGGATCAGCCCTTGTCTGCGCTGGCACCTCAAATGGCATTTGCATTATTTATATTGCATCAATAAAACCCGCATTCAGGAATAATTAGCGAAAAACTTGTCGACAGCGACCAGCAGCGGATTGAGATCGGCGCAGTTGATCCGTTTATGGCTGGCGCTAGGATTTATTTGTACTTCCTTTCGCATTTGAAAGGCGAGCGTCTACCTGCTGCTGGCCAAGGCAGAGTCCTGCGAGTCCTGTGTGCATATTCTACATTCATGAAACCCAAAAACGAAACGAAACCCGAAGACGAAGCCGATGTAGAAGCCATTTGGCGCATCATCCAGCTCCTCATCGCTTTTAAGCGACTCAATTAATGCATTTTGGATTCCCACATTCGTCGCCGTCGAGTGCCGAGTGTCGTCGTCCTGCGACTCGACTCGCTGGCTACCTGTCGGCGTCTGATTTCCCCGATGTCCTGCGCTCGGTTGGCCGTTTAATTGCCGCGGCTCGCGCTAAGTGTTCCCTAGAAAAACAATGAGCAGCCAGGAGCATCGGCATCGCCGCTCAATCAAGCACATGTCGTCCTGTGTTGACTCCTGGTCGCAGGACGAGGCGCCCCGGATGTCTCGAGTGTCAAGCGCTATTGCTTTGCGGCCTTTGTCTGATTATCGGTTATGTGTGGTTATGTCAATTAACGCGGATCAGTGCCGCGGCCCAAGCAGTAGGTATAAAAGGTAGCGGTGCCAACAGCCAGGACATCACATTCACCGCACATTCCACACGAAGCACATCGCACGGACACGAACAAATTCGAAATGCAGTTGGAAAAGATTGTCATTCTACTGCTCACCATTCAGCAGAGCTGCCTGGCTTTGTACATCAAGAGCGTGGAGAAGAATCAGGTCAAGAAAGCCGCCACCAAGGACGACTGGGGAGTCTTCAAGAACACACTGGGACTAACACAGGAAAAAGGTGGGTTATCCTTGACTTATATTTCTTTTAAATATAAATCAAAACCCAACACCCCTTTGAGCCTTTATTAACTTTCAAAATTTGTTTTTCCTTATAGTTGAGCTCCTGAAGTCGCAAAAGGATCAGCAGGGCACCAAAGAGCTGCTCAATCGCTTTATCCTGGAAAATCCCAAGGCCCTGCCTCAGGCCAAGCACCAGCCCGATCAGTTCCTGGGTCTCTATCGATCCATACTCAAGAAACTCACCGCCTCCAAGCGGATGCTGAAGACCTCCCTGAACTTCGAGCTAGCCGACAGGCCCCACCACAAGCCCCTGAAGAGGCCGCGCCGCAAGATTGCCGTCAAGATGGTCTCCGATATGCCCTCCTGGAAGATCGAGAGCCTGCTCAACTCGTTTTATTTGAAACACGGTCTGCCGCGGGACGACGAGAGCGATTACTCTGATTTGGACATGCCCAAGAATGGCGCTGGCTTTTCCTCTGACTCGGAGACGGACTTTGAGGGCAATAATGAGGACAATGATTATGCCTCGGAGATCCTGTACGACGACGAGGGTGATGTGGGTCTCACGGCCAAGACCCGACAGAATGCAGAGTACGGCTCCTTCCAGGACCTTATTATGCAGGCCAAGATGAACGAGTGGGAGCGCGAGAACGAAGAAACCAAATTGCACGGCTCGGACAATAATGATTTCATTTAAATTAAATCAAGGAATTGTCTGCAAGTAATACTTAGAGAGAGAGGAAGATAGAGGGGCTGTGCAATAGGGGTTCATATGCTGGCATTGGACTTGTCTTTAGTTTAAAGTTTAAAGTAGTTATTTATGCCAGATCAAACCATATTTTATATGAGTATTTATTATAGTTATTATTTAGATTAAGTGATTTTTTTGCAAAAATTAAAATGAGTTAATAAACAAACTGAAAATATGAAGGTTTAAAATGTAAAGAAAAAAATGCGTTTTCTCTTATTTCAAATAAAAATTTAAAAAAGTATTTACTTATCCAACTAATTCTTTTAAATTTAAATTACATTACATTCTTTTTTCTTTATAAATTCGGAGTCCTAATTATTTTCGAATTTATTAACTTTCTAACAGACTTTCAAGCTTTTAATATTTACCATTCTGCGCATGTCCTTTACCAGACAAAAAGCTTTCCATGAGAGAAGTTTTTAAACAATTTTCTTATTATTTTTCACTCTTATTAAAACAACTAAAATTAGCTTATATAAATTATAATACATTAAAAACAAACTAGCTCTAATCTAAAAATTGATTTTAAACAAAACTGCTTTCGATTATGTAAATCAGCTGATTGTTAAGCTTCCTGCTCTCCTTGGGGTCCTTCCTCCCTTGCAGCTTGACAACAAAATCATCTCTGCCATGGGCAGACATATGGTTTCGCAACATTTTATATCTGTTTCCGAACAACATAAGCACGTGCTCCGCCAGAGCACACTCATGCGCCATGTGGTACCTGCTTGAGCTCCTGGAAGACGGTATAAAAGCCGTGTTCCTTTAAACGGGCAATTAGTCTGTTGCTGTTCTCTGTCGGTAATATTTCAAAAATTCCCCTAGAAAATACCTTCTTAGAGCTTAAATCTAAGAACAGTTTTGCGTAGATATTGCCAAGGGTTCAACCTTTTTTACCAGCTCAGGATTAAACCGGGTTAACTAGTTTTCGATGCTAAGACCACTTGTTGCATTTTGCCTGCTTTTGAGGTCGCCGAAGCAAAGGTATTTAAGTTTCCCAAAGAAATCTCATGTTAGAAACGTTAATAAAAAAGTTTTTGCCTTGAATAAGTTTAGCTTGAGAGAATCGATACATGTTCAATGCGAGCATGCAATATCTTTTTGTGATGCACATCACGTAGAAAGTCTTTTAGGTATCAGCCTCGCCAGCCTTGCTGGCATCATTTATGCACGTACTCTGTTTCCTTGGGCTGCTAACTTTGGTTTCGCCACGGCCCCAAGTCCCTGTCACTGTCTTCCATCGCGGTTAATGTAGAAATACGGCCAAACAATTTTTAAGTCTTTAGTTTGACTTGTGAATAAGCATAACATTATGGGGGAAACACTAAGAAAAGTTGTTTGTAGGGTATAAGATATATATATTTTTAACAATAATACATTATAAATTACAACTTTATACACGCGATTGATAAATTAAAGTACATAATACGAATCGAATAAATAAAACTTGAACACATTTCAAACATGCAGGCTCCATTATCTTACAAGTAAACAGGAATTCAAAATGCATTCGAAACTGGAGTATTTGAAGGGTTGCTGATATTCCCAGGTATATTATAATTTGGTACCCACAAAAATACAATGGCAGTCAAGACCCAGCAAGACCCAGCTATTCAAATTCAAGTATGGAACCAAGACTCTCGGTAGTCTTTTGGAGGTAATAAAGCTCTTGGGGGGTTCAGTGCTCAGAAGGTCTGTTCGTCTACAGCTTCTCACCGCTTAGACTAACGATATTATAGTAATTGTGATCGGGGAACCGCTCTAGTTCAATATAGTCCATTTCGGTGTGCAGCAGCTTGTCCAGCATCTGGATTATTTCCGCGAAAAGTGGCCGCTCCTGGGGATCGTGTGACCAACAGTAATACATAATGTTGTACAGCTCCCGACGGCAGTGCTCCGGTTTCTCCAGGCGATAACCATCTCTAACCTATGAAGAATAGTATGAAAAGTGAAAAAAGTTTTGTGAAAAAAATGAAACCAACCTTTCGCATAACATCAGCTGCTGATATCCCTGGATATGGCGTGGAGCCCAGAGTCACAATCTCCCACATGAGTATGCCAAAGCTCCAGATATCCGATTTTACGGAGAATATATTGTCATACAGCGATTCGGTGGCCATCCATCTGGAAATTGTTAAAGAATCCATTAAAATTGTGATAATAAATAGATATAGAAATCGGCCTTACCTTATGGGCAGCTTGCCTTCGCTCTTTCTCTCGTAGATCTTCGAGGTGATCACATCTCGGGCAAAGCCAAAGTCAGCCACCTTGCAGGTATGATCCTCTGTGATTAGAATATTTCTAGCCGCTAGATCCCGATGGATTATCTGAAATAATATAAGGAAATTATTATTGTTTGTAGGTTTTAAATAATAATAATTTTTCTGTATTTTAACTTACTCCACGCGATGTAAGGTAGTCCATTCCCTTGGCTACTTGGTACATAAAGGATGTCAAGTCGCAGGAAGTCAAAACATTTGACTTTCCATGGGTATTGCCATAGTGTCTATAAACAAAATGATTTTATTAAATATTAATATAAGACAAATTGTATAATATAAATATAAAAATATAATATAAATAGATATCATTACGTTTTAATTAAAATTTAACGAGTTTCGAATATTTTGAAACCATTACAAAACTAGTTTTAAAACCCTTTATGGAAATTATAGTGACAAGTTTAAGGTACATCTTTTGGAAATCTGAATAGAACTTCTCCGATTTCTCTTAAGACCCAAGAATCGATATTTTTAATATTACTTTATTTTGTATTCAGTTCAATTTAATTTAATATAATTTCTTACCTCTCGGCACGTGAACTGCGTAAATATGTTTGTAACTTTCCTCGATTCACATACTCCAGAATCACAAATGTGGGATCTTTATCCGTGCAACAGCCCAACAGACGAACCACATTGACGTGTGGCTCTAAAGACTTCATTACCTGTAATTAGATATTTGGTTATTTAAGAACAAAGGTAAAGCAATTGACTTGAAAGAAGTAAAGGATACTTATATATTACTGTACTAATTCCAGATATTTTTGGCGCAGGTAAAATTATGGGTATTTTTAAACCACCTTAAAAATGTCTAATTACCCCTATTAATACACATCCCCCGCCTGGGCAATTTCCTTAAGTAATCCATTATTTACGGTCCCTATTTATCTTTTCGGATACTGATTTTATTTACTGCGACATCAACTAGTTAGCCAAAGTAGCTGCAATTCATTTCAGTTAATAACTTGGTCCTTTCGAATGTAGCAGCGCCTCCTCCACTCCTAATTCAATTCGAAAACTTTTAACTCCTTTCGGAGGAGCAACAAGGACCCGGTCACTTGGCAGGCCTCCGGAAAAAAGGACTATGACTTGAGGAATGAGTCTGGAATGCGAGGCAGTAGCCATGGGCCATCCATAATTTTGCATTGTTCCAAAATTAAAGGGCAATTATTCTCGTTTCTGGGGTAATCCGCAGAACATGATATACTGCAGCCGCACATTGCTGCCGGTGTTTTCCGGTCCAAGGACCCAAGGACTACGGACAGCTCCGAACCAAATGCGACTTTAATGATGAGGGACGCGACCCGCACGGCAACCCTAGAGTGGCCCTTCAGAGTCAGAGTCAGAGTCAGATTCATTCCCAGAGATAGCCGGGGCCAGGGGGCAAGGTTGGAGGTTTTGTGAACTCCGAAAAGACCAGTGCGCAGGTCGAGAGTGGGGCGAGAGAGAGATATAGTGAATAGATGACCCTGCGAGAGGATGCTGCGGCTTGTCACTTTTTTTTTTTTTGGAGGCAAGAACAGCAACAGGAATCAGTTTGCTTCAAGGCGTCGGAGTGCGCGGTCGAAAATCCTCACTGAAAGGACCCTTGTTTCTACGGTCGAAAGGCGATTTGCACGGTTTAGTTCGTAGTGTTTACAAACGGAAAATCCTGCTCCCAAGTGCTGTGCATGTGTCTCCCATAAATGCGATTCAGTGCAGCCAAATGCTGAACTTATTAGCCAGCCAGCGACTAGCCAGAGGAGGTAATAAATACCAACATTCGGGGCAGAAACAGAAACAGAGGCCGAGACAGGGCAAGGGAAAATGCTAATCGATACGGCAAATGGTCGTATCATTACGGGATTACTTTCGGGGGATGCGGTGAAATCCTGAGTGCTGGTGTCCTTGGGCCAAATGAATGCAACAGCACTCCATTGGCTTTGCCTGCCCAGAAAAGTATGCAAATTAAAGGCCATTCAAGGACCTGGCTTCACTCACACAGTCATATTTATTGATTCGCCGCCTGAAATGAAAACAAAGAGTAGCCTTTGTGCTCCTCGGGCTAAATCCCGCACAGAAATCATGTAAAGAAATCACACACTCTTTAAAGCCAGGCCGGATTTTTAGTTTTTCGGAGTTTGGCATATGTGTAAGGACTCGGGGCATTAAATATGCACGTCTGACACCGGAATACTTACAAGGGCATAAATGAATAATTTTGTCGCAGTATTTTTGGCGACCATAAATATGCAATAAGTCCCCGACATTATTCGAATTGGCATTTAACCCACATCGACGACCCCCATGTCGGAGGCTGCCTGCATTTCAGATATTGCTCTCGGGTCAGGTTTTATTTAATTTTATTGCGAAGGACATTTTACCTAATGCGATTACAGGTTCCTTTTGAAATTTTTAAAGGGAAGGAAACAAAGCTAATTAGCGAACAACAAATATAATAAACTATGGGGCAAGAAACGCGAAGGAAGCGCAAATGGAAGGGAAGAATGGGCAAGTGCAAACTTTAAATTAGAAAACTCTTGACAATTTTCGAGGGCGGCGGGCACTTACAGTGGACACTTGAAGAGTGTATGACTGAAAAGTTTAAGAAATTCCTAAAATATAAAAATAGTAATAAATGTAATGAGCTTACAGAAAACTAAAAAAGATACATGAAAGAATTTTCCAAATTGTGTTTATAAATTTCCCAAAAATACTGACAAGTTATAGGTAAAAATTCCACTAAAACTGCATCCTTTAGACTCCACTTTTTGCCACAAACACTACCAATTTTCTGTGAACATTTCCTTAATGAAACACTCACTGATGAAACATTTTGCTTGAACTTGTAGGACAGACACATAAGTAGACTCTTTTACGTTTTCATTAAAAAGGTAAACATTAAATCCCAAACTCAAGGGCCAAACGAGGGCCGTCACCGTCGTGCTGAAAGTCCGCAAGTCGCAATCGCATGGAGTAGGAAAAAGAAATTCTTTCAAAAGTTTTCAGCATCGTTAATTTTCAATTTACAAAACTTTTTCATCTAACCAGAAAAACCAACTCACAAGATTTGCCCGCCAGCAGCCAAGAGAGAGAGGAGCAAGTCCTACTCGACTTGGAAGACTTTCTCGGAAGGGGGCAGAATCTCCCCCAGAATGGGACTGGGAATGGCAACCAATTGAATGAAAAGTGACAGAGTGAAAGGCAACCGAGAAATTGCGCTCGCCAGAGCCAACTCGCAAGTCGTCGTCACTTTGCCAACTTTTTGATGTAACGATTTTGCCGGTATTTTGCATACCCTTAACGGATGACTTAAGAAATTGTAAATGCTAATTTACAAGAATTGTGTAGGTTTGCTTTCTTTTTTTTTGTTATGCTACTTACCTCTAACTCGGAAAGCAGGTCCTTGCGATCCACTTCGGTGGCGCTTTCCTTGAGGGTCTTAACGGCCACTGTGGTGATGCCTTCAGTGTCTGTAAAAAGTAAACATAATTATTAATGTAAAATAAATCAATCGAAAACGTTGATTTAAACAATTATAATTTATAAATGTACAAGTAGCTGAGGTCCTTGCAGCAAGCTCTTCCCAATTAGCATGCAAAAAACAAACAGGCTTTAAGTACTCCTCCATCAATTGTCCAGTGGTCCTTGAGATATTTTTAGTTTTCAATATTCAAAGTGCTTACATAAAATCCTGTGCTCTGTTTTTCTCTGTTCCCCCTACCTACACTCTCTCCTCCTGTATATGCATAAATCCAGAATTCACTTGTCTCTCGTTTTGTATGTCCATTCTACGTGCTCATAAAAAAGGGCTCGTATAGTGGTACTCTCGAAAGGGAGATGGGTGGCATATGTCCCACCACCCCCTGATTGCACAATTTTCACCACCTGAGTACTTAAATGTGGGGCAACAACTGCTGCTGCATATCACGAGCCAGTGGCTTTGTGAATCCCCGCTGATTGAATGCACAATCTGCTCCATTTAAAATTCCATTCTCGGTCATATCAAAATAGGGGAATATTAAATAGCTTTGCTAAAATGATGGAATTCGTGGAATGGAAGGATCCTAACGGGGTTTTTGAATTTTGCTAGGGCACATTGGAGGGCCAATTAAGCTGGGAAAGGCTGAATAATATTACTTTGATTTTATACACTCCATAGTTTTCCCTAAAATATTATTTACTATTCATTTCCCTTTAAACTTACCATTTATGTTGGTGGCCTCGCAGCGCCAAACCTGCCCAAAGGCTCCTTCGCCCAGAATATTGAAGAACTTCAAACGGTATCTGGGGAATTCCCAGCGGTCGCAGTTGCCCTCGTTGCCGGGGGCGCCATTTTCCAGGGCGCCGGAAGTGCCAGCACCTGCCACGCATCCTGGGCCCGTGGCGGAGCCTGGGATCTCACCTGTCCCGGCCATGGGCACTCCTGCGTTGGCATCTCCGCCGCTGGTGACACCTGTTGATAACTGGGACGTTGCCTGTCAACATGGGCAACGACGTAGGTATCCGACAGCGCGACATCCACATCGATGTAGAAATCGAAGGCGAACGGAAATGCCAGCAATGTTGATGTTTTGTGAAGGGAATATAAGAAATACAAGATAAAACGCTTTGATTAGCTTCGATCCCTTTTTGTTTAGGTTGTCATTAAGTTATAATAGACAGACTGCAGATCAAGTGACACTTAAGCCGGGAAAAGTGACTGCTTGTCAGGTAAAAATATCACAGGTAAAACATAAAACCCTTTGATTGGGCTTTATTCTGACAAACATGGCTCACATGACACTTAATCCTGAAGAAAAGTTTGCTTGACAGAATCTCGACTTTGTATAAAAGTTTCTTTTATGAAAATGTGATGAATGTCACAACTACATAAAGGTGATTAAGGGTTTAAAATGGTATTTCTAGTTATGAAAAAATATAGCAAAAGTCTTGGTTCCAGTTTGGGAATTTATGGTATGGAATTTAAGGTAAAATTTATAAGCTATTCCAGCTCTAAAAAACAACTGATTTCATGTGTTAACATTTCAAAAAACAATAAACAAAGCTGCAAAATGGGTTTTCATTACGTTTTTCTCACTAAAATAACTGCCATAAACGATTTCATAATCACAACCTTTATCGGGTTAAATCCCCCGCGGATTTGTTGCCACTGTTTGTGACGCACAGAGCGAGTGGAAAATTCAGCAAGTTTTTGCATCCGCTGTCAATGAATGAATGGAAATGGAAATGAAAATGGAATTGGAATGATAGGATGCCAATGTAACTCGCATTCCCGACATTCATCCTGTGAATTTTCCCATTCCGTGCAGAATTCCGCCTGCATTGAGCTACTTTTTCCTGTCAATTACACTGCCGATGTTGGCCAATCTGGGTGACAGGGTGACAAGGACGCCAGGAATAGCTCTGTGCAGGCGTTGAGTGCGCCAACCTGAGACCTGAAGAACCAAGGTGGAAATCTGAGCTTGAGTAGCTGTCGATTAGGGACTCCATTGGCTCTAAGCTGGCTATTGCTCCCAAAGGTAAAAGGTAAATATATATTTCTGTACAGGAGTTGCAGGGAGTCTGCGAAGGCTTTGCTTATTTTAGGAGACATATTTTGTATGGCAAAAAATATATAGAAAGGATATAGTTGTTTCTTTCCTATTTAAAAGCTACATCTTTTCAAGGAATTTGTACCTAATAATGAACTTACAATGCCCAGCTGCTGATCCCGCTCCCAGGGTACATAACGATTGGCAAAGGCCACCGGTCCCTGCCACTGCTGCATGACCATCGAGTTGCGGCTGTCGTCGGTGAGTGTACTGCTCAGCTGACTGGGATTGGACTTTTTGGCCAGCTCCTCCTTCTCCTTGGACTTCTTGAGGGTCCTGCTGATGGCGCACAGCCGTCGACGGCAGAGATACGCGAACAGGACCGCAGTGGCGGCTATGAAGCCGCCAATAGTCACCACAATGGGTATCGTTCCGGACTTGATGGAGAAGACGGTGATGGTGTTGTTATTACTGCCAACGCCACTGGGTGGAGTGGGTGGCTCTGTGGGGACTTGCTCGACCCTCGTCGAATTATTGCCAGTTATTGGCGTCAACTTGGTGCGGCTCTTTGGCGTGCTGCTGGAGCTCGTCTCGGGTGGCACCTCTGCCGCTGCCGCCGGTTCATTGTTGCTCTGATCAGGACCAGAGGGTAGTGACGGTGGTGGCGGTGGGTAGTAGTTACCGAACTGTGGTGGCCCGAATATACCACCGCCACTCGGTGGGGGCACTGGGGGAAAGCGACTGTTGGGCCGTCCATTCCGAATGGACTGGACACCAGGCAGCTGGTCAAAGCGGGGCAGGAACTGCGATATGTTGTGCACCACGTTCGAAATGGAGGTCTGCGGTCGATAGCCGTAGCTGTTGTCCCTCTCGCCCAGGATATTGATGAAAACCTCGTTCTTGGCCGTATACCGGCCATCGGTGACAGTTATGTAGATGAGAAAATTCTGGCCAGCCTGCAAAAAAAAACAAAAGAATTCAGGTTAAAAGTTCAGGAAAAGTTAAGCATAAAAAAGTATGGAGAGCATCCTCAGCATTTTTATGACCTTGCAGGGGTGGTATTTTTGTAATCATGGAGTTGTCTTTAAAGGCATATTTTATAAAGCTATTGAAACCAAAAATTTATAACTTTTGAACTGTTTTTTGTATTATTTAATTATATATTTTATCAATACTTCTCTTTAATTTCGCCATTAAGAATCGAATGACTGATTTCTATAAGCAAAAATAAAATTCAACTCAAAAAAGGTCACGTATACATTATGACTTTCCAAATACCTTTGGAGTTGTATCCATATTTGTATACCTTTGTTTTCTTTTTGGGATACACATGAAAAACGTAATTAATTGTTACTTATTTTTGTAAATTCTTTATAGTTAAAATTTTAACAATAAATACCTCCAAGACTATTAAATTGCTACTACATAATTATAATTTCAGTCGGTAGTTGGAAACGTAGTGAAGGACTCATTTGCGAATTAAAATGAATAAATTTTTAGCTTAGTTATGATAGATTTCAAGTTCCCGGATAGCCTGCAAGGTTATCTTGGCTTGCCAAAGATAGCTTCCTTTCTTGTTATATACGTATTCTTACCCTTCCCGCCAGACTTTCGTTGAGATAGACAATTCCCTTTTTCGGATCAATGTGAAAGGGTATTTTTTCGGGTGTACTGGCAGCACCCCCACTCCCTGGGGGTGGAATGAAGCGGGGCTCAAGACCGAATATCAGATCATCGCCATCGGCATCCTCCGCCCGGACTTGCTCGATTACCTGGCCGACTCTCTCCGTCTCCGATATCCGCCAGTTGCGGTCACGAAGATACAGAATCGGTGGTGCATTTTGTTCGTTGGCTTCGACTGAAAGTATATTCACAAAAATAGTTAAAAGCCAAGTATTTATTATGCATTTTTAATGCATATAAAACATAACAACTGGTTGTTGTTCATACAAAAGATTATCTGATGCGCAATACCGGTTATAAAAAGCTTTTAAAAGCACTGTAAAATAACATATTTTTTACGGATATATTTACTATAAGGACCTTGATCAGTCAGAAGTATTATTAATGATTGAAGAACTGAATATTTAAATGTATAATATTGATAATTATCAGCATTCCTTCTCTCACAAAATAAATTTGAGAAATAAGGTATTAGAATAATATTCACTATTCTCTATTCACGGTTCACTAACAATGTTTACACTATCATTTTCTTAAGCTTTTATATTTGAAACCAAACCGTATTCTATTATTCTGACTCTTAACTTTTTTGAAAGACATGAACATACTTAAAAAACCTCTTATTTTACACCCACAATTAAATATAGAAAATAAATTAACATAGTTAAGCCTCCAGCTAAAATATTGTTCTGATTTTCCCTGGGAAATCCACCCACAAAAAACGTGACATCACTAAGAAAATACCGAATGCCGAGTATTTAGATCGTAACTCGTTTTGTAATCCCCCAGTAACCGCTTATTAAATCCAACCTACGCCAGCGATAGAGCGATTAATTGGTTAAGACGACGACAGCGACTTTGCATGCATTGCGATGGGCCAACATTAGTTGGCAGCCAAGTTCATTCAGAGATATGTATGCTGCCGCCGAGTGCCAGCTATTGACCCGGATGTCTGCCACTTGGTAGCTTCTGGCTGGCGTTTGAACCAATGCCAAAGGCACACACAAAAGATACATTTGGGTGGCGGCCAGATTGCAGCATAGGAAAAACTGTGTTGTTTTTTTTTTTTTTTTCCTCTTTTACCAAGAAATATCAATCGGTTCATTGTACACGGAGATGTCCGTGAAATATTCGCATATTCAGTTTATTTCTCAGCGCCTCATAAGTCAAGCATCATTCAATGGACCTAAGCGACGTGACGTGATAACCGGTTGCTGGCTGTGTTTGCACTTGTATCTCTGTATCTTTGTATCTTTGTCTCTCTGTATCGCTGACGACCTTCAGATGCGAATGCGGAGCGCACACATGTAACGAATACGTACGTATACGTGATGTGTTCTGCCACAGGAGCGACGGCAACGGTGGTGGCGGCACTCACTCGTATTTTCCCAAAGACACAAGCCACACAAGAGCCAAGAGCGATGCCGTCGGCGCGGCTTAACTGCGAATGCGAGAATGTTTTTGCTCCGCAAACAGGTTTGAGACACGCTTTCGGGGCGGACTTAACTGGGTCCGCGTGTGTAAGCTCATCCAGAGATATACACGGATTCGGCAACATGGCCAAGATACATTATGACTGCCCGAGAAGATGTTTCGTTTCATTTAAATATTGCACAATATGCTGGCTTACGAGGCATGTGCGTGAACTTCAGCCTGATGGCGGGCTAAATAAAGATTGTAATAAGTATTGTTTATATACCAGATCCTCTGAGAGGAATATTATTATATTTCTGGAGTCCACTGAGCATTTTTTGTCTTGAATACTTCTCTAAATTTCTTGAAGGTGTGTTATAAAAACAAATAATTAAAAAATGGTTTTAAAATTTCAAGAAAGATAAGATCAACTACAAGAAATATGAACTAATGACCGTTTTTCTAAACCAAAACCAAAGATCAACTTCCTATAAATATATCAAACCAAGAGTTCAATAATCGCTTTTATTTTGGCCACAAATAAACCGCAATTTTGATGAATAAGTCATAATTATTGAATCAATTTCCTGGCAATTAGTCGCTTAAAGAGTTCATACGCCTTCGGTTAAATGACACTATATATGGTGTGTCTTAGGGAAACATTCACGGTCAAGGCTGTATGGTATGAACTGAATGTACTGAGGCTCGGAGAGCTCCATTTGTTTTTCTCGCCCACGGGGATCAACAGACCGTTGTGGGACTTCAAGAGCGATTCGCATTGTTTTGTTATTATTCGGGCAGCAATTACGCATTTGTGTGTTGTGGTCATTAACGTGGTTTTGTCATCAAGATAGGCTTAGACTGTTGACCCGGCATACAGTTCCCATTTCACCTAATGCACTTTTCCCATTAGAAGCTAATCGAGATGTCCCTCATATAGGTTTATTCTTTTTCAAGGGTTCTTTTCGCAATCAGTGTAAATCATAGATTTTAATTAAGATATGTTCGAGTAGAGAAACCCTTTTAATTTATATATTATATATATTTTTACCTTCTTGTAAAATCAGGGAACCCACTGTGGCTGCCACCACAATGATGGCGAGCAGTAGGCTCCTTCCTCCCGGTTTGCCGCAGTGTATTATCCGACTTTCGTGGTTGTGATGGTGATAAACCATTGCGCAATCAACCGCCTAAACGGCAGCCTGCCAGATGTCCGAGGACTGAGACAAGGTGATGAAATTTTAATTAAAAATGGCTGCGCATCGTGGTGAAATGAAATCAAATAACTGATATTTATGTGTATATTGTGGCTGAGTTTTCAGCTGTCCTACGAGTTCCGCGACATGTATTTTAATTGGTATTAATGACAGACACGTAATTAAAGCGGCGAAGAGCATTTTTCATCTCTAGTTTGGATACCGGAAATATATATATTTAAAAAATATTATTTATATTGTGTATATGCCAGTGAACCAGGATATGTCCGTGGAAATATTTGAGTGAAGGGCACAGACATCGTACAAAAGAAAATATAACTTGAGACGGTGCGCGTCATGAAGCGGGTCGGCATCGGCGATTTCTCTTTTTGACGTTTACGGCGATCCGTCGGGTGCATGGCGCAATAGCAAAACAAAAACTGGGACCAATATACCCGTATATATCCACAAATATGTACACTCTCACATGGCTAGATATAGCAGGGAACACTCTGCGTTTTGTGTATTTTAATAATTTGTTTGGTAAATAAACCTCAAGTTAGGAACAAAAACAGGTGTTAATTTCAGCACTTAGATTATATAAATTATTTAAATTAAGGCTGCTTAAAGAGGTCAGCTTTTATTTGGTAGCCACATGAGTCATCACTACGCACATTTGAAACGCTTAATAAGCTGCTGACTTTCCCACCATTATTATGAATATAATTATTATTACTTTTATTTTAGGGTGGGATTTTTGCGCCAATGTTCACACACATATATATGTATATATAGATTGTACACAAAGCCACGGAAACTGGTATCCAAAAACTTTCACGGGTTGCGTTTCGGGGCGGCGTTCCCCAAGCGGTACTTGGCTCGGTCGTTGCGTTTAACCACTCGGCGCAGTGACAACTGAGGCTATAGTTATAGCCAAAGCTATAGATGGGATCGCCCAGACCACAAGATCTCCGGGATACTCTCTCTCTCTCTCTCTCTCTCTCTCTCTTGGAGTCTCTCTTTTGGCATAACGAAAAACTTGTTTGGCTGCCAGAAGCAACGAACTTGAACTTGCTCTCTTATGATTCGTATGCTCTCTTTGGCTCTCTTGTTTTACTAATGTTTCTGGAACTTTAAATTATTATTAATTGAATTATCAGTGGCAAGCAAACATATGTTCATTCATTGTTTGTCAACATTACTATCAGTAAAACCATGTCTGATAAGAGAGAAAGTCTAAAAGTGAGAGTTAAAAGCTGAAGTTGTTTATTTTTAAGAAGAATTTGCTGAAGTGAAGGGGTTATACTTAACTAAAATATAGTAATATAATAATATTATTCATTACAAATTAAAATATTTATTAATTTCTTATTTGATTTATATTGAAATACGATTACTGATAAGAAAAGAAGTCTAAAAGTGAGAGTAAATTCGTTGTTGCACATTTTAAACGAAAATTTTGTTGAAGTGAAGGGTTCTAGGTTAATAAATTATAAAAATATAATAATATTATTTTCATTTGATTAATTTCCTATTTGATGTATATAAAAATAAGCTTACCAAGATACTTAATATTGCAATTTTATTTAAGTATTCGATTTACATATTAAAGATTAATTTAAATAAATTCTCTTAACTCCAAGCTTATTTATTTTCTTTTGTCTTTGGTTTTAATAAAATATTATAATTTATACAAATAAAAATATTATTAATAAGATGCTTATCTTGCAATTTTATTTAAAAATCAATTTAAGGTAAAATTTGTAGTAGTATATAAATTCCTAATTAAATAATACTAAGCAAACCACTTTAGTAACTCAACTCCAAGCTTTTTTTATGTCTTTTGTCTTTGGTTTTCCCCCCATTTCCATTGAACAATAGAGCTTTGTCCAAAGTCTGATTCACTAATCAAAGCGTTAATCTGTTTTACGACCACAAAATATCATCGCGGTCGATTGCAGTAGCAGCGTCGCCCACGACAACGCCATTGCAAGTTCCAAAACAAATCCAAAAAGCTTTGCCAAAGCACCTTATTTACCCAAGTGCAGCATATTTATTTATTTGCCCAAATGCAACGCCGCGTCACGTGGATTTCCCAAAAAGCAAAATCCCTGAAAACCCATTCACAAGTTTTGGCCATTTCAAAACCTGCCAAAAGTCGCCACCAAATGCGAGAAATAAAATAATACAAAAAACAAAAACCCAAACCAGGCAAGCTGAGCTCATAATGCCAGTCGTGGATTACTGACCGGCTGAACTGGATGACAACTCTCTTGGATAAACATAATAATTTTCTATTGAAATATTGTTAAAGCTTATGATAAACCTAGTTAAGACATCGCGGAGTTGCAAGGTATGAAAAAGAGATTCCTATTGCATCAATTACTCAATGATTGAGACTCGTGTTGCATTCGTGTTTCCGCAATTGCTCTTTGTTTTCCCCCAGAATAGCCAAGAGTGTGTGTGATAGTGTGTAAGCTCTGATTTCAGCACATATCAATTGTGTTTCCCCCACACCGGAAAAGTGAAAAGCGCAGAGTGAAGAGCGAACACTGCTTTTGTGTTTTAGTTGCTAAGTTCGTGTCTAGCCGCGGGTGTCCCATAAATCCATGGACATATTTAATTTACACTGAAATAAACGGAAGTGTTTAGCGCTAAATGAAACATAATATTAAAATAAAAAGAAAATATTTGCGATGATTTGATTTGTTCTTTAGAATTACTCAATTTTGAACACATCAACCCCCCCCAAAAGATGCTCTAAAATCCCCAAGACATCGTCATACTTTAATCATAGACAATACAGCTCTAAAAGTACTGATAAGTGCGCTGATAAGCCACATAGAAGTTGATAAGGTCTGCTATATTCATTGGAACTGAATGGCACTGATAAGGCTATGGGTCAAACACGAATTCTACAAACCAAAACAACACCAAGAGCCAGTCGGCTCGCGTCTCTCACCCAGATAACTCGATGTGATTCCCGGGGTTTTTTTTTGCTAATTAAAAGCTTGCTCAACGCCACATATACAATATCAATCTGTACTATATTATGTACTCGAGTAAGCAGAAATAAATTTGACCGCCTTGCACACACTTAAAATTGGATGTAAACAAAGTGAAGCTGTGCTTGAAACAGTGAGCAACAGGTGCGAATAAATCAAGCAGAAGGGATATATTCAGTTAAGGGACTCTGTTTATTTTAAGGCCTCATATTCAAATTTATGCTGTGGAAAATCTGAATATCACTTGCAGGTAATAAATGCAGAAGACCCACTGTCTACACAGTCTGGTCGAGATAGCTCTCAAGTGGTTCGGGCCACAAGATTCTGCCATAAATTACAGAAGGTGTTGGGGCCAACAATGCACAGTTCAGGCCCAGCAGTAGCCAGCAGCAGCATCACAGCATCGAGTGCAGAAGTTTTCTATTTTCTATTTTTATTTTCGTTTTTGTAGGACAACTTTCATAGTTCGTTCGGTCTGCACATTGGTTTTGGTCGCGCCACATAAATGGGCAATGGGAATTTGGCATTTTTGCAACGGTGCAATTTACTTGCACCAGCATACAGAAGGGCCGTCTGTGCTTGTGTACAAAAAACGTCGAGTGTGGAAATCGGTATATATGTATATATAGGCCCTGCAATATTACCCTAGGCCTAGCCCTGGAGTGAGTGCTTCTCCGTGGATTCAAAACCATGGCCCTTGTAAAATGAAGCCCGCCTTTTATTCACTCATAGCAAACGCCGCTGAAATAAATACAAATTTCTGCATACTTGAACGTACAGCATAGCTTTAGTTGGGTTTTGTTCACCTTTTTTTATTTATGAAGTCTTCTAGAACTGAATTGGAAATAAGGAAAGCTGATAGAGGGATAAAATTCAGCAATCTGTCGGGTTTAAATTAGAATATTATAACTAAGGTGCTCTAGATATCACAAGGAGTTCTTAAAACATTTGAAAGGGTGTTTAAAACGATTTATATTAAGTCTGGACTCCTTTATATTAGGGTTGAAAATACCATTGATTTATAAACTTATGAAATTAATTTATTTATACCAAATTTAACCTTTATTTTAAACCAATTCTCTATCTGTCTTTCTTTCCAGGACCCACAATTACCTATTACTTACGTACGACAAGTTAACCCGGACTGAAACCCCGACTTAACGATGATTCAGATACTGACACATCGACCCAACTATAGTCCCCTTGTGGTGTTTATGCTCCTGCTCATTGACCATCGACTGATCATTGTGGGTTCAAGTTTTCAAGTGCTGCAAAGTCCATTCGACAAATACTCAAACTATGAACCGATGCAGGGAAAAGTTGAGGATCTGAAGCTGCCAGAGGATCGGGAAGTGGTCGTTCGATTGCCGTCAAACTCACTGCTTAAATATACGTCCTACAAGGATGTGTCTATACTACACTTTAATGTGCTACAGGACACAAGGACTGCCTACTTCACCTTCAAAGCGTATGAGGATCCCAAAAGTGCCTTTCGTTAGTATAAAACAAATTTTATATGATTTATATAATTTATTTATTATATTTTTGTAGAACGCAAGTGCAAGCCCAAGGATGTTACGCTGCATCTGAAGGCCAGCAGTTACCCAGTAATAAGTCCGGAAAATATAACATTTCCGAAGAACTTTTTTAGTTCAGATCAGAGGTAAGTGTAGAGTTAAAAACTGCTTATAGAAAAAGTTATTTAAATTGATTTTCTTCCAGATTCAAGGTGTATGACCTGCAGTTCTTATCCGATGAGCAACAGCAAAACATTACCATTGAGGCCCCTCACATAGGCAACTGGTTTGCAGTGGCCTTTGTGAGTTGGTCAGATCCTAATAATGATCGAATTGAACAACAAGGTAATGTAGCCAACAAATTAGATAGTTTTTGAACATATTGATATAGGAAATATAAAAATATTCATAAGTTACAATTCTAATTTATTTCGAATTCATTTCAGTCGACTTCAGATAACATACATCATAATTCTCAAAGTTCAGGCAGCTTATACTGAAAATAATTTATTTCTATTTGTTTTTTTAATGTTTGTTTATAAGAAATTCCCCAGAACTTGAAAATAGATTAATATTTTTCTTAGAAAACATTTAAGTACCTAATAAATATTTTTTAAACCCCAGATCTTTATTTCACATACATAAACACAGATTAAAAGACTTATTTGCTCTTGAATATTTATGGAACATATTTTTATTCACAGGACTCGCCGCCTCGTGCGATACGTTGCTGTTTGCCGAAATGTCCGTTAGCCGTTTCCGTCCTATAATCTTAAATAGCGACCAGGAGCATCAGGCCAATCTAACGAGCCATGTCCTGCCCGTGAATAAAACCAAAAAAGTGGATAGAAATATAAAAGGAACCGCCGGCGACAACACCTCCAGGCCGCTACGTTCACTGCCGCCCAAGCAGCAGAAGCTAAAACAACCGGAATTGAATAATTTTACTGATAACACGGATCCGAGTAGAGCTGCTCTCATCCAGAATTCCACGGAAAACCACAATGGCACCATAACACACACCGCAAACAATGAGATCATCTATCGATTCTATGTTCCCGACGATATAGGTGATGCAGCGGCGCGGATTGCTTTCAATCAAATCTGCGATGAGTGTCCGGAGGTGGGCTTCCATGTCCGGGCGAATGGATATCCACTGGGTGGCACAGATCAGGGCCATGGACACGGGACCTTAATTCGAGCAAACCAAACCGACGAGATCTCCATACCCTTCGGCGTCCAACCCAACACCTGGCACTATGCAGCTCTGGGCTTTGCCACCAACGAAAGCGTGGCCAATTTCAGTGTAGCCTACACCCTGCAAATTGACTACATCGCCTCGAAGATAGTGTCCAGGAAACCCAGAGAATTCGTTGATGGCTCTTCTAACAGTAGCACTAGTTCCAACAGTAGTTCCAGGTTCAATTCTGTTCCTCATGCCTGGGCACCCACTCCCTTCCGCGGCATGAACTTCTACTCGCTGTTGCGGCAAACCTACCGCGAGTTCTTTATGTTCGACTATGATCTCCGGCCAGATGTCAATGGCACTGTGCCGGCCACATTTAATCTCACTGCCCAGACTCATTCAGGCTTTGCCTTCGACGTAGGCGAGGTCTACGACATCGGCGGCACACTCACCTTTGCCCTTTCCATGCAAGAGGAGCACCGCGCCAGCCTCAAGATGGCACCGCCAACTCAGCCCCCGGATCTGGGTGGCATCCTAGCTGAACGGCTAATCGGAGATCCCAAGGAGGCAGTGGTCCCAGTGGGTAAGACCCTCGCGGCCACTGGCAACCAGAGCATGCAGATTGTGGTGTGCATGCAGCTGGGCGAGCCCGGGGAGCCCACTTGGCCGGACAAGTGCCTCTACGGGCAGAGATTAAAGCAGGCCTCCATCATTGTCAACCACACCGAGAGCATGGGCGTCATCCACGTCCCCTTTCCCGAGAGCGGACGATGGTGAGTTTGTCTACTTATAAATATTTATATTTATAGAAATTTTCCCATTAAAAGGTACGTGACCATGGGCCTGTTCTGTCACGGAGCCGAAACCGCTCGAGTGACCATCATGGAGAGTGTCAAGGAGTTCATACGGAAGCACCAGGACATGCTGGAGGACATGCGGCCGCCTTGCGACTGCGCTGCAGGTATTCCCCGCTTCTCGGCCTGCCTCAAGGACTTGGACTGCCTGGCGGCCATGAACGAAACCGAGACGCTAAAGGTAAAGGAGTGCATGATGGACTCTAAATGCACCACTGAATCTAGCCAGATGACAAGGCTATTCGAGGAGCACCACAAGGCGGCGATGGAGCAGCATGTGGGCACAGACAATTGCAACACCTCGGTGGTGTTTACAGTGTCCTCCAGTCCTTGCGTGGCTGGAAGATGTGGCCGCTTTGGACGCTGCTACCACTACATGTCCGGCGGATTCGTCTTCTCCACGTGCGTCTGCTCGAAGGGCTACCGGGGCTGGGACTGCACTGAGGATACACAGGTGCCCACCAGCATGTCCATCCTGCTGGCCACTCTGCTGCTCACGCTGAGCAACCTGCTCTTTTTCCCCAGCATCTATATGGCGGTCAAGCGACGCTACTACACCGAGGGCGTCATCTACTTCTTTGCCATGTTCTTCTCGATCTTCTACCACGCCTGCGACGCTGGCGAAGATGAGTACAGCTTTTGTCTGGTGAAGATCGGGGTCCTGCAATTCTGCGACTTTTACTGTGGTCTGCTGAGCATCTGGGTGACCCTGGTGGCTATGGCCCATGTCCGCTCAGACTTTGTCTCGCTGCTGCACATGTTTGGGGCAATTCTCCTGGCCTTTGGCACCGAGCTGAATAAACAGAGTTTGTGGGTGTTCCTGGCGCCGGCGCTGACGGGTATCTGCCTGATCTCCACCAGCTGGGGTCTGCGCTGTGCCAAGTCCCGGAAGCTGTTCCCCTCGCGTCGTTACCTATCCGTGTGGCTGCCTTTTGGGTTAACCCTGGTGGTGGCCGGCCTAGTCTGCTATGCGTTCCTGCAGACAAAGCAGAACTACCACATCGTGCACTCCATCTGGCACATGGTCATGGCTTTGAGCATCCTGTGCCTGCTGCCCTCGAGGAAGACTTTCCTGCCGAAGTGCTAGCACGCGGAGAACAGTTCCCAGACCAGGGAGCTCCTGCTGGCCGATCAGGAGTTCCACATGTGAGAGGAGAAGGACCCTTGGCTTTTGCAAACCCATTACAGGATCTAGACTAGCCCTAGCCCCGTAGAGATAAAGCCTATTCTAGTTTGTACAGTACGTAATAAATACTCGTAGATAAAGTAGGACATGAGATCAATGGAGCACTGAAAGTTCACTACAACACTATGAAGGATGCACGAAGGACTATTTGGATACAGATACTTGATCGTTACTATGTTTGTTTACCCATCCTCAGCCACATGAAGCTATCAATATGATTTATGATCTATGGAGTAAACTATTTCAACAGCCTTACTAAATTTAATGAAACGCACGCATGGAAATGTGTATCGCATAACCGAAGATGTACATAGGTAGTACCTATTAGGTACTTGTTGTTAGATAAATCGCAGACCATAAGACTAGTTAATAAATAGAACGTAATATAACAATACCATCTGCACTAATTTAAACAGAATCAATGTATTGATATTCCCATTGAGGTGATTGAAGTGACAGCTCAAGACTTCAATTTATTTTTCGTTGTGGAAAAAGGTTTAGAATAAATTCATGAATTTATACTTTACCAATAAAAAACATAAATGTTTCGATTGTCTTACTGTTTAAAAAGAGAGTTTGTTTTGTTGTTTATCAAGAGGGGATTTGAGGAACATTTAAGGGAAATACATTAAACTTTGAGATACGAAAGCGTTTATAACTTCAAGAACCTTCTGTTCTACGCTCTTTCTCGTTTAAAGAGGTTTTTATATTATTTTTGTTAGTTTATATTAATTTGTCTATATTACATATATTATATATATCTTCCTTATCGAACACTCCCTGATCCATAGCGGATTTCTCTCTCAAACTGCTCCGCTTTAAGGGTGCCATCGATGCTCTCGCAATTCTTGTTAAACACACTATAGGCGCTCATCTCTTTGCGATTCCTGGGACCCGTCCTGGTATTGAAATATATTCCAAACAGAGCGGAAAACATAAGAAAGACCAGTCCGAACTTCAGCTCAATGGCTATCACATAGAGGGTAACCCAGAATAGGAAGTAAACACCCCAGAGGGTGTACTTTAGGGTATTGTTTTCCTTGTGATGGTGCTCTGTGGATCTGGACAAGCTTTCCTCTGGAATCAGTTCATTTTCGCTGGAGAAAGCAGACTCATCAGGAGACTCTTCAGCTGGATCGTGGGCCTTGGTTGTGGGTGGATCCTAAAACACACAAATATTAGTAATAATACCTGGCATATGTCTTGTTTTTTACTCACCTGTTGTACCTCAATGGTGGTATCTTTGTTGGCCCCCGTGCCCAACATCCAGAAGCGGCGCAGTTTGGTTTTGAAATTGTCAACGGTCTCCTTCCTTCGCTTCTTAAGGCGATATTGTCGCAGCTGCTCTTGAAAGTCAGCCATAAATTTCTACTAAAACAATTTCTGGACAATAAATAAATAAACTAAACTAGACGTGTCAACAGCATATCGATAAAGCTAGTGCTCGTTCAGCTGTTAGGTATCGATATGTAGTACAGGGAACACACTTTTCAGTGAACAAATCAGAGGGGATGAAATTAATTTATATCTTAAATTCACTTTAACAATTAAAATGTTATTTATATTATTTATTTTGAGCAAATAATTAATATTAAAAATCGGTTGTAAATATATATTTCGAATTAACAAATTAAAGTTTTTTAAATTTGACATAGAAAATTTACAAAATTTTAGTTAATATTTATTTAAAAATTATAAAATATATTTAATTATTTAAAAATAATTGTACATACTTTCACAAATATTTATTGAATTTCTACAATAAATTGCATATTAGAACATTTCTTTCTCTGAGCGTTCACTGTATTTAAAAGGCGATATTGTCAGCTATCGATATTTTTGGAATGTATGCAAGGTATTCTTTCTTTTGTTTTATTATGTTATAATAATAAGAAAAACGTTTTAGCTACAACAATATTTTCTGTTAACTTTATAATATTCATTTATTTATTTTTTAAATGAAAATAATAGTGTACACGTTTTAATAGTAAATAATATTAATGATATAATATAATATATTATAAATAAATGTGGAATATTTGATTTCTAGGTGCAGTGATTTTAAAATCTAGATAATTAAAATTTTTATCTGAAAACAGTACACTTTAAGTTTTATTTAATTACTTATTTATACCTAATTTTTTATTTTTACAGTTTAAAATAAAAAAGCATACAAAATTCAAAAAATGCCGATGAAAATGGTGCTGGAAACTGAAGTCCTTTTGCCAAAGAAATTGATTTTTTTGTAAAAATATATTAAAGATGTTTAATAATGTTAATTTTTTTTAAGTTTTCACAAGCTTGTTTATATAAAATAGCCCTCTAAGTATAACCTACATCACAATATAAAATTTAAGCAAAAATAAAACCATCAAAATAATTTTAAAAATTCCAAATGAACTTCTTGGTGTTTTTATTTAACCAATATATAATGTAAATAAAATTCAAACTAATTTAACAATTCTTCATCTCAAAAATGACTCAACTTGTTGCTTACATGTAGCAAGTTCTATGTAAATGTCAATAGGGTCGCTTGAAGGTGCTGTCTCTTCGTACGTCAACTTCCTCGCAAACGAACAGATATGTCGACATGTGGCCCCCGGATTTATATCCGTAAGCCCCAAGTGGCATTCCGTTTTCACACTCTTAATTACCATAAACATTAGAGGGTAAACAATTAAACATAATAATTTTTGTGAAAGAATTGCTGCTACCGTTAGTAAGCCGCCCACGCTTAATTGCATTCATCAACAATTACTGCCCTGAGGGAGTATCACTGTTTAACACAAAAAGTGTTTACTTTGGGATGTGCGAACAATTTTCTAAAATTACTTTTATAATTTGTATGACCAATAAATTTATTTCAAAATGTCTGATAACATTTTTGTATGCTTCTATGATAGTTATCTGCTGGCCCCCTAAGAGAAGATAGTCAAAGAGGCAAGGCCAAATAAGAATAATTACCTTGATCTCTTGCTACTATTCCTATTTAATTTAAAATATTAAGGAACTATTTAATGTTTATATTTTTTAAGTAATTATTAAGTAAGATAAAATGTGTTAAATAGTGTCATTACACGCAAATTTATGACAGCGCCTGGTCGCATACCTGGCTGACGACGAGACCACCACAACCTTTGCATTATTTGCTCTAATGAATTGAAAAAACGGAATAAACGAGACAGGCGCGATGGGTGAGAGGGGTAGGCTCTTCGCTTTTTAAGATTCTCAGTCGCAGCAAATGAGTGATACACTTTGATAAATAAACAGAATATCATCTAGACCCTCAATTATCTTTATTGTTCCATCTGATAACCCAACCTCTAGGGGCGTCCTCTGGCATCCGAATCAAATGCTGTCACAGCCACTGCTTTTATACCCACTACAACTCGGGTTCCTCTTCAGTTTTAGTTTGTCGCAGGTTCGGGAATGCCGGAAAAATTGAAAGTCTAAAACTAAAATCTTAAAAGAGATCAAAATGAGTGCGGAATTAGGCCAACCAGACGATGTTGAGAGATCGACATCAAAGGCAAAAAGTTGTGAAAATAGTGACCAAAATGCTGGCCATGAATACGAGGAAGTGCTGCAATTAATTGGTAGTTTAAAGGCCTACATTAATTATCCTTAATAATTAACAAGTGTATATTTTATAAATCAAATTAAGGATTCGGTCGAGTTCAGTGGATTGTCCTTTTGGCTGCCGGACTACTTCTCATGATGGTCATCAATGAGACCATGGGCATGTCCTATATCACCATCGTGTCCCAGTGCGATTTCGCAATGAATTCAATGGATAAAGCCATCATGAGTGCTGCTAGTTTTATAGGTGAGTTAGCAGTTTCATCATCATTAGTCTTTATCTTTCACGTTTCACGTTTTCATGCTTATAAATTTCACGCGTGCTTTTTTGCAGGAATATTCTGTTCATCTTATTTTTGGGGCTACCTGAGTGATACTGTTGGCCGAAGGCCGGTATTAATATACACCACAATTGCCGGAAATGTATTATCATTATGCTCTACCGTTATTCCCAATTACTGGCTGTATGTCTTTCTACGTTTTGGTGTGGGATTTTTGTAAGTAAAGCCACGTGACTTAAGATTTAATTAAACAAAAAGATTTTAATTAGGTTTGCAAAGGAAATAAAGTGTTATCAGTGTAAACTACTTTATTATTATATATAGTAAGCAATTTAGTCGGTTGAGAATTTAATCATAACCAACCAGAACCGCTTATAACCAATATACAAACTTTCAACTTTAATTAATTAATTTTTGTAATAATTATTTTCAATTTAAAATAGCATTGCTGGAGCTTCTTCAACTACTTATGCTTATCTTGGCGAATTTTTTACACCAAAACATCGGCCCATTGCCATTAATTATGCCAGTTTATTTGTGGGAATTTCCACTGTTTATGTGCCTGGTAATTATTTACTTAGATTTTAGTATCCGTAAACATTTGCAATATACTTAATCCTTAATTACAGCCACTGCCTGGCTGATATTGTCCATGAATTGGAACGTGAACATTACGGACGACTTCTCTTTTCGTCCTTGGCGTTTACTGACTATTTGCTATATGCTTCCGGGCATTATTGGTACCATAATGCTTTGGACTCTTCCCGAGAGCCCCAAGATCCTGATGTCCTTGCACAAGACTGAAGAGGCCTTTGCAGCTGTCGACTGGATTGCAGTTACAAATTCCGGCAAACATTTGCATGAATTCAAAGTGCAAAAATTGAAAACAGAATCATCTGCTGAGGGGGAGAATATATTACTCGTTTCAAAGTCTGCGTAAGTTTTAATTACCAATTCATTTTATGTGATTAATAATAAAATATTTTCTTTTAGCCTTGCCACTATTAAGAAAATGTGGAAGGAAACTTTGCCGCTGCTGAAGAGACCGCATCTGGTTAACTTTGTTATTAGCTGCACGATTATGTGTGGTTTGTTTTTTAGGCAAGTATTTAAACAAGAAATTTTTGATTTGATACATTTTTTTTATTAATGTAATATATTTTGAACAGCTCTTCGGGCATGGGTCTTTGGTATCCGGAAATACAAAACCGATTGGGTATGAATCAAGCCGAAGATTCAATGACCGTTTGTGAAGTTATAGACGCATCAATAGATCAAATGGAAGCGAATGCATCTAATAAGGTAAGTCAAATTAGCCAAAGTTCAACCAGTACAATTATAAATTAGTATTAGTGTACAAAATATGAATAATCCCTTAAGTGGCCCTTTGACCTTTCTTATTACTTTGGTTTTACTTATTACAATCTTTAGTAGTTCTTATTTTTCATGGTTAGACAGTATTATTATTTATTTCAACTACTATAGGTATTGATTTCTTTTTTATTCTCAGACCTGTGTTGATACGATAAACACCAAGAGCTACGTAGACACAATTACCTACGGATCGGCGCTAATTGTTGGCTATATTCTGATGGGTCTAGTTCTCAAAGCCATCGGTCGCAAGGCCTCCATTTCCATTGGCCTGGCTTTGGCTGGCGCTTGTGCAGTCATTTTGATATTCATCAAGGACGAAGTGGCTATTGTTGTCTGCTTTTGCCTGTACTTGGTCCTGCCAGGACTCTGCGTTTCAATAGTGAGTGGTGCTGTCGTGGATCTCGTTCCCACTCACCTGCGCGGAAAGGCGGTGTGCATTTGCCTGATGCTGGGAAGGACAGGAAGCGTTTTTGGCAGCAATATTATAGGAGTCCTCTTAGACTCGTATTGCTCAGTGACATTTGGGGTATTTTCTGGATTCGTTTTGGGTGAGTAAGATGGGATTTGGGTCAGGAAGAATCTATTATTAATTATTTGTATTTTTCTTGATTATAGTTTGCGCTGGCCTGACGTTGCTGTTACCAATTTAAGATTATTTCTAAGTAGTTAATTAATTTAGTTTAATTTACATATGTGCCTTTTAAATAAATATATATATAATTATATATAATGTTTGGATACTAGCAATGAAGCTTACTTTGGGAAGCCGATCTTTGTATACTCTTGCAGTTCGCAATTAAAAGCTTTTGTGTTTTAGTTTTTATTAGATTAGATTTTATATTATTACCCAAACTTTAATTAACTTTAAGCGGCTTCAGCTTAAGTACTTCTGGTTAATTAAGCCACAGGCAAGTGGGGCAGATTGCTGACACTCCCTCAATAAAACCAGATTTTACAATGAAACTTAAAACTCGAACCAAATACAACGTTCGTCGTTATTTTGTAAATTCTAGTTCAGTTTACGTTCAGGTTTTGTTCTCATCTGGGAAAATACTTCCATTTTTCCAAGCCTATTCCCCAAATTTTTGCATAAATTGCTATTAGTTTCCCTAATTGCTTAAATCAAGATGCTAAGACTGAGTAAACAACCCTCAAAGTACATCAAAAACAAACACAGCATAGTCCGATTCTCTCTCAACCAGTTTTGCATATAAAATCGAATTCATTGATGTGCTTAAGATCTCTCGCAAATTGCTTAAATTGAAACAAAATCCCGAGTGACTTAAGCTCAAAACTGGTTTTGCGGTTCACATGTCGCTCAATGTTCTACACTGGGTTATTAGAATACAATGCAAAGGCTTAAAAGCAGGTGCTGCACCAGTGTACTGGCCAGTTTACTGTATATCCGAGGAATGTCAAGATGCACGGCTCACGGGAGAGCAACACCCTCAGTAGAAATGTGTGGGACTACGACATGGTATTGGAGAAAATAGGTAGTATATAAAAATAATTCAAGTCTAGAGGGGTAGTAAAAGGAGTATCCTTTTCCCTTAGGTTATGGCAAAACCCAGTGGATCTTATTGCTGGTCAGTGGTCTTCTGACAATCACATCTGTGGCTGCCCAGCAGGCGATGAGCATCATTGTGATTGCCTCGCACTGTGAATTCCACACAACACAGGCCGAAAAGGGCGTCATGATGGCGGCTAGTGTTACAGGTGAGGTCTCACGTGGAGAACAATGGCAATATACATTTCCATGTTTCATGTCACAGGCATCTTCCTATCGACCTACATATGGGGTTATATCAGCGATGATATAGGTCGACGCAAGGTTCTGCTCTACGGCAATTTCGCCAGCAACGCCCTGCAGTTTGTTCTCATGTTTGTCACTAGCGTTTCGCTGTTTAACATTATTAACCTCCTGGTTGGAATCAGGTGAGGAGGTGGAGGAGAGAATATGGTAAAGTTAAATTAATGATTTAATTGTGCAATTCTTTTTTTAATTCTCACAGTGTGGGTGGAGTATCGGCAGCACTTTATGCATATCTAAGTGAATTCAACATACCCCGACATCGAGCTGTGGCAATTAATTATTCTACTATGTTTGTTAGCGTTACAGCGATATATGTTCCAGGTAACAATGAGTAATATCATATACTTAATTAATTATCTAACTTTTAAATCTTTCAGCGACGGCCTGGCTAGTACTTTCATCTGATTGGGCCCTAACTTTGGGAGATTTTGTGTTTAGACCATGGCGTTTAATGTTGCTAGTCAGTCTATTGCCCGGCTTAATCGGTGGCCTGGTGTTATTATATTACCCTGAAAGCCCAAAGCTGTTGCTGTCCCAAGATAAGACACAAGAAGCCAAAGAAGCCGTCGCTTGGATCAGTAAATTCAACCGGGGAAAGTCCATTGAGCAGGTTCTGGATTGTGACGAATTCACATTGAAATCAGAGGATCCAGCTGGCGAAAACTTGTTATCGGACAGTCAGGGTTGTGGTATTGTATCCAAAATTGTTCGAGCAACTATTCCGCTATTCCACAAGCCACACGGATTCAATGTTATCCTTTGCAATCTGGCACTGTTTGGGATGTTCTTCAGGTATGAACAAAACTAAGATGAAAGCTGGAATTTGTAATATATATATTAAAAATTTCCAGCTCGAATGGCATGCAGCTTTGGTTTCCCGAAATTGTCAACCGATCTTCTGGTGCCGAAAATAACTCTTCTACAGTGTGCGAAATATTAAGCGTGCCCGTGGAAACCCCCCAAAATGTCACAGAAACCCTGGTGAGTTATTTAATTTTGCTGCTAAAATATTATAACATTTTATTTGTATTTTAGGACTGCACCGATCCCATTTCAAGCAAAACCTATATAGACAACTTGGTTGTGGGCTTTGCCTTCTTGATTGGCTTTTCCATTCAGGGCACCCTACTGAATCCCTTGGGCCGAAAGAATGTCCTTTTAACTGCTCTGGCAGTGGCTGCATTGAGTGGAATTCTTCTACACCTTATGGAAAATCCCACAGGAGTTCTTATACTGTTTTGCCTTTACATACTGCTGCCAGGACTCTCTATATCCATTATGATAGGAGCCATTGTAGATCTTGTGCCCACAAATTTAAGGTATTTATTACATTTTAACATATTTAGATGTTTCATTAGACTGTTAATTAATAAATAATATTTTAACCAGATCTAAGGCAGTTAGCTTCTGCATGTCTATGGGTCGACTTGGAATTATTGCTGCCACAAACCTCATGGGAGTTATGTTGCAACCGTATTGCAATACAACATTCGCCATATTCACGTGTACACTTATTGGTAAGTAACTTAATAATTTTAATTTTTATATATTTTATTTATATTTTATTTGTTTAATTTCAGTGTGCATTGTAATTGTTCATTACCTTCCGATTAAAAACTCTGCTTAAGTTGCACTTTAAACTCTTTCTCATTCTATATTACTGCATCTTTAATGTTCAAATAAATTTTAAAGTTGTTGATTACATTATTTAAATGATTATATGGGTAGCTTTAAAATAAACTTTTTACGGGGGAATCCTTAATGCTGATTTGTTTTCGTTAATATGTATTCCTTACAGGAGTAAGGACAAGTAAGCAAAGTTTAATCAAATTTTAATTTTCATGAATTGCGTGTTTCTATCCAAATTTTTATTTCCACGTATAAACTTTATAAACCAGAAGAACAAAACCTTATTATGCTCAGATCTCAAAACTAGTTTAAACTCTCCATTATTAAAATTAAAATCAAAAGCCTAAAACTGGTGTTTCACTATCCCAGTGATCAGTTGTCTGTCTATCGGAGAAGTCACAAGATGCCCGGCTCCCTGGAGAATCGTCCCAAAGTCTGGGACTATGAAACTGTTTTAGAAAAAATAGGTAATTTATACAAATCTCTTACATGAACCAGGTGTTAACAAGTGTACTTGCCACCAGGTTATGGTAAAACCCAGTGGATTCTATTGCTGGTCAGTGGACTCTTGACAATAACAACAGTGGCCGCCCAACAGGCGATGGGCATCATAGTGATCGCCTCGCAATGTGACTTCCACACCACGCAGGCTGAAAAAGGTGTAATGATGGCCACAAGAACGGCAGGTGAGTCTTGCTCTAAGTCTCATCGAAGAATAATGATTTATATTGAAGGTTTTGTGACACAGGTTTAGTCCTATCGACCATTGTATGGGGATACATAAGCGATGATGTAGGGCGACGCAAGGTTTTGATCTACGGCACTTTTGCCAGCAATGCCCTGCAGTTTAGTCTCATGTTCGTCTCAGATCTTTGGCTGTTTAACATAATTAATTTTTTCGCTGGAATTAGGTGAGTAAATTTATGTGGCTTTATGCTTTTTGAAAATGTTTAAACTGATAATATAATACAGATAGTTTATAAAGACCGGCTTAAAAAAGCTAATTTATGCAAATTCTTTATTTACCTCTCCCGCAAACACAGCGTGGGTAGCGTTCCAGCAGCACTTTATCCATATTTGGGTGAATTCAATATACCCCGTCATCGAGCTGTGACGATTAATTATTCGACGATGTTCGTCACTGTTTCTGCGATAATTGTGCCAGGTAATAAGTTATTTAATTACTTAACTATAGCTTCTTAACTCATCTATTTCATTTCAGCGGCTGCTTGGCTTATACTTTCATATGATTGGGCCATAACCCTAGGCGATTTTGTCTTCCGACCATGGCGTTTAATGTTGCTAATCAATCTTCTGCCTGGTTTAATCGGGGGCTTAGTGCTATTATATTACCCCGAAAGCCCCAAGTTTTTACTGTCTCAAGATAAGACCCAAGAGGCAATAGAAGTCGTCACTTGGATAAGTAAATTCAACAAGGGAAAGTCCATTCAGCAGGTCATGGAATATGAAGAATTCACCCTAAAATCAGAGGATCCAGATGGCGAAAGATTGTTAGCCAACAGTCAGGGTATTGTAACCAAAATTGTTCAAGCAAATATGCCACTTTTTCACAAGCCTCACAGATTAAATTTTATCCTTTGCAATCTGGCAGTATTTGGATTGTTTTTTGCGTAAGCAAACATCTTGAAAACTCTAAAGATTGACTTGTAAATGAAAATATTTCTTTTCAGCTCTTGTGGCGTGCAAGTTTGGCTTCCAGACATTGTTAACAAATTATCTGGTGACGTGAACAACTCATCAACAGTGTGCAAAATATTAAGCCTTCCCCTTGGAGCCCCGCAAAATGTTACACAAGAGGTTAAAAGTTGTTTAATTTTCCAACAATAACTTAATAAATAATTCTTTCTATTTTAGGACTGCACAGTTCACATCTCAAGCAAAACCTATATAGACAATTTGATTGTGGGCTTTGCCTTCTTGTTAGCATTTTCCATTCAGGGCTTTCTATTGAATCCTTTGGGTCGAAAGAATGTCCTATTCGCTGCTCTTGCAGGAGCCGTTTTGAGCGGCATTTTTCTGCATTTTATAGGAAATCCCACAGGGGTTCTCGTCGTGTTTTGCCTCTACATATTGCTGCCAGGACTCTGTATTTCTATTATGATAGGAGCCATCGTTGATCTGGTGCCCACACATTTAAGGTACATCTAATTTTATTTTTTTCTTAAGTTCCTGTTAATTAATAGTATAATTTTATAATCAGATCTAAGGCAGTTAGCTTTTGCATGTCTATGGGTAGACTGGGAGTCATTGCATCCACAAACCTGATAGGAGTTATGCTGACACCCTATTGCAATACAACATTCGCCATATTTACTTCGACGCTTATTGGTAAGTAATTTAAAACTAACAGAGAATTAATTTTAATGTTTATTTTGTATAATTTCAGTCTGCATTGTAATCGTTCGCTATCTTCCTATTAAAAACTCTGCTTAAGTAGAGATCTATGTAAAAACAAGGACCAGAACTCTAAACGAAAGGTGATCAAAACGGAAAGCTCTCTCTTACCAGTTAAAGGAGAGTTCAACACTCTTCTGCACACCTTTTTTAATAATTTTATAAATTCAATTTTATATTATTTTTATTGTTTCTTTTTTTAATTTTAATGACAGCTTCATGATTGTCTAGAATCTATTCCTCCTCCTCTTCCTCCTCTCCATCATCCTCCTCTGGCTCCTCGTAGCTGTCGCCACCGGCAGGGGCATCCTCAACGTTGGAGCTCAGCTCGATGGCGGGTTCCTGTTCGTCGATAGGCGTCACAGGCTCCTCAACCAGAGGCTCGGTGGCATCGACATCATTCTCACCCTTCTGGATGGCCTGCAGCTCCTGGGCCGCAAGTTCGTTCTCTTGGCGGGCGATTTCGGCCAGCTCGGCGGCCTGGCGGGCCAGCTCAGCGTCATCCTCCTTCTCGATCTCCGCCAGACGTGCCAACTCCTGCTCGCGCTGGCGCTGCTCCTCCTCCAGGCGGGCTTCCTCGGCGGCGCGAGCCTCCTCGGCAGCCTTGGCAGCGGCAGCTTCCTCGGCTAAGCGTGCCTCCTCAGCAAGGCGAGCCTCTTCGGCAGCAGCTTCCTCGGCAATACGGGCTTCTTCGGCAGCTTTAAGGGCGGCAGCTTCCTCGGCAGCCTTAAGAGCGGCTGCTTCCTCGGCAGCTTTAAGAGCAGCAGCCTCCTCGGCGAGACGAGCTTCTTCGGCAGCTTTAAGGGCGGCAGCTTCCTCGGCGGCGCGAGCCTCTTCGGCAGCTTTAGCAGCGGCAGCTTCATCGGCAGCCTTCTGGGCGGCAGCTTCATCAGCAGCCTTCTGGGCAGCATCTGCTGCCGCCTTTTGGGCAGCAACTTCCGCTTGACGAGCCTCTTCGGCCGCAGCTTCTTCGGCAGCCTTCTTGGCCTTGGCAGCAGCCTTAGCCTCGGCCTCAGCAGCCAGGCGTTCGCGCTCCTCCTTCAGAGCCCTGAAAAAAATATATAAATTTAGTTAACCTTTCTAGATTGCAGGAAAGAGAATTTCTTACCTCTCCTCCCGACGCTTGGCCTCATCAGCCTTCTGGGCGCGCTTCTTCTCCTGATCCACCTCGTCCAGGGCCTCCTCGTTCACCGTCAGAAGACGCTCCTGTCGGAGGCGCTGCTTCTCCTTGTTCTCCAAGTCGACGGGATCCTCCAAGGGCCTAGGGGCAGAAAACTTTCTAGTTGGACGGTTAGGATCCAACTCGGCATCTGAAATTGAAAGCTTGTCATAAAGGGCCCAACCACAGCTTGGATGTATCTTAGCTTTTCTCCTCATTCTATTTATTATTGATCCTTAACTTTGCTTTTCAGTTTATCCTTCTTACATATAGTAATACTTACTCTTCGGAAGGGCGATGGGCGGTGGTTTTCTTATAGACGAGGCAAGGTAAAATTGCAGATACAGTAGAGACGCCAATGGTTTAGAGTTTTGTGTGGCATTAATGGGAGTTTTTCGGTAGTTTTGGGCATGAAGATTTCGAAACCAAAATGTGGTTAATGGGTTAAGCATACATACATATATACATCTCAAAATTCAAAAACTAGAGTACATAAATCAAGCTGAGGTCTCGAGGTTTTTTTGTGGATGGTGAATTTAATGTAATTTAAATTCATTTAAAAATACAGCAGCAAAAAAATGTTATATACATGAAATATTCTCTGGCGTTTCTTTTATTTAATTTATAACCCAAAAAAGAAAGGTCCCTTGTGAACCTGAAACACCCTTAAAATAAAAACCCATTAAAAAGAAGTTTCGTTTTGGATCAGTATTTACAAATTAATATATTGATAGATATATGTAAGTAAATGTCCCTAAAAATGTGTTTACATATGCATGAACATAACATAATTGGTTAACCAAATTGGCGCCGACATCTAAATATATCTTAAATGCCAAAATATTATGCACATGAAGTATTTATATATATATTTGTTTAAATCAATGAACGTGAAAGGAAAACATTTAATAGTCAGCTACTATATATCGGCACCTAAGTTACAACAAATTGAAAGAGAATGAAGAAGTATCTACATTTTGGTAAGTCACATGAAAAAGGGTTAGTATCACAAGTGATGCGCTGAATTTCTTCATTATTATCATTATTATTATATTTTATTCGATCTTTTTAGCTGTTCTGATCTGATCTGATCTGATCTGACTTTGTGTAGGTATTAGTCTGAGTAGTGAAAGCGCCAGAGTGTGTCGATATCAAGTGTTCATCTTGTAGATATCGGCTAAGTGTCTACCACACGCAAAAGAAAGTCTTTTAGATTGGTTTATTTAAGAAAGAGAAGTGTATGTCCATACAAAAATCAGGCATGTTATCATTTAGGCCTCAACTTCAACAGCTTCAACTGGAAAGAATCAATCAATCATAAAACGTATAACGTTAGTGAAATACAATGAACTGAACAATTCAGGATGCAGCAACCAAATATGTAAGTTAGTTACAAATGAATAAAGTCAACTAATATGGCACCGGCTTATACGATTATATGTATTAATATTCGGGGAAATTCTGGGCTTCCAAGTTGGAAGAATATAATTTGGACAAGTCGAAAATAATTATATACCGAAAAATCTCAAAACGAATATCATACCATGTTTTTTTTAATTAAAGCCTTGGGTGCTTTCTGTTCTTTTTATAACATATTATAGAGTTTGTCATGTATGTGAAGATTTTGAGTATAAATCGGAGAAGTCAAAAATTATTAAAATGGTATGGATATATGGATGAACAGTGTGGCCTTAACTCTGGTCCATGTATGTTTAATAAATATAATTCGTTGAATTAATGTTTTATTTTATTTATGAAAATATATATCCTGGTTTTTAAATTACCAACAAAAAATAATTAACGCGCAAATCCTTGTCCTTATTTGCATCTCTCAATGAATGGTACTCGTTTTGGCGGCAACATCAATTACATATATGCTTGAGTGATATATATACAGGTGTCATATTCAAGCGTCGAAAACAGAAAAGAACAGTACTTACCTTCCTTCTCAGGAACATGGGATTTCTTATCACTCTTCCAAGTCGGATGTCTAAGGTACCAGGACAAGAGGTTAATATCAGTTCGAACTTTGTCCGAATCGTACATGGGACTCCTAATATTATAGGCCTTGTCACCGCAAATCCTTACTGATGCAAGATGACTTTTACCTTGTTGTTATTTGATTATTTAAAAAATACGGAATTTAATAGCTATTTCACTGTACAGTATAAGGTAAGGGTGTGTCTAACCACAGTTTTTTTTCAACTGAATACATAGTGCCATAATCGCGGACTATGTCGGAGGGGATAACTCACCAACATATTTTATAGCTGGCCGGGGATAGTGCGAGATATTGTGAACTTCCTTGGCAATATGACGCACAGGATTTGTGACACGGGCCACATAGGCGTCCAGGGCAAGTTGCGAAGTCGGTTCATAGGTATAACTATAAGTAATATATGTATTTTGTAAAATGAATTATATATAAAACTATGTATAGCTGTAAGAAATTCATTTTCTTTTTTTAATTCTAAACATCTATTAAGAGGCAGACGGTATGCTTCACTTTTAATTGTGCCCACATGTCGTATGAGTGATAATTGCCTGTAAATATCACTCATCCGCCATGTGTGACAAGCCAAATAGCATTCTTCGCCTCGTAATAATAAATATATTTATGGTAAGATATAAAATTGTCTACATTTAACCTTGACAGACTACTATACACAAAATCAAGGGTAATATGATAAAACAAGTAAAAGGTCATACACCATTAACTCCCTCTGATATCTACTCACCCGGTGACTGGGAAGGGTGTGCAGCTGCGAGCACGGCGCACAACGGGAGTATGCAAGTCACGAATCAGAGATTGCGCGCGGTTGCGAATCCGGCTTGTTTCCTCAGAGAAGGTCTGCAAATGGGGACTCTGAGTTAGAAGGATCCGCAATCATGTCAAAGGTGGCGTAGGGAACTCTACTTCAGCTACGACTACGGAAGCTTGCTCTAGCTCAGATATAGCTTTTCTCAGGCAGACCAACTTACGGTGAAGGGTTCGGTATTGAGGTAATTGGTAAGGGCCCGAGCACCGTATCCTGGCGGCAGCCTCTTCAGGTAGGAGGGCACCTGGCGAACCGGGGAGGTCGTGATCCTCAACGGCGAGGAGGTGATCCTCAGCGGGGATAGCGAACGGGCGGGGGCGTACACCCGAGTGACCGTGGTCGGGCTGTAGTAGTAGGACGGCGTGTAAGTGGTGTACGAGGTCGGGATGTAGGTCGAAGTGTAGGTCGATGGCAAGTAGGTGGGGCTGTAGTAGGTCGATGGCGAAGTGTACGAGTAGGTGGTGCGCTCCGGCGATGAAATCACTCGGGTCGTCGTGCGGACAACGCGAACTGGCGACGGTGAGTGGATAACCCGGGACACCACACGGGCGGGCGAGGTAACCACACGGATGGGCGAGGTCACCACACGGGTGCTGCCGGTGACCACGCGCCTGGGCACCGAGTAGCTCGAGTAGATGGGGTAACTCGACTTGTATACCTATATATTTGTCAAGGGTTTCAAAAAATTAACACAACATCGAATGATAAGGATTTAATGAAGACGAGAAATCTCTTTATCGTTATAGCAATGAGGAAGCCAGTAATGAAAGTAAAAAAGTTTAACAATTAACAGAAACAGAAACAGAATTATTTAGATGATGATTCACTCAGAAGGTGAGTTTTTTGTGATGATATATGATGAAAACGTTTTAATTTAATCTAGACTATTCCAAGTATTTACGCGATAAAAACCAATATAAATCTAGATAAATTTATGCCAGTTAACATGACTGATAAGAATAAAAACACTAATATTTTGGTATCTTAAAGACTTAGTTTTGCCCTTTTAAATTGAAAAGTCAACCCTTAAATATTTTGTAACCAAAAATTAAGATATTCAT